CACGCTGCCTCGCCCGCGCAGGTCGACGGTGACGCGCCCAATGAAGGGCCATAAGCACCGACGATGGCGGTTTGCTTGCCGCTGAACACGAACGGGAGCGCCACTGCTTTTGCGCCGCATCAATTCATATAGTTGACAGGGCACTATCATAGCTCGATTTATGGGGCCTCGGTGGGGCGGCCTTCCGCTCTTGTCTTCAAACCTTTTGCACAATGTTTGTCTTACACCTGGAGCCGCAAGACAGCCAACCCGCCCGACTTTATTGTAATGGGATACCTGCAAACAACCACATCGGGCAGGCCGTAGTGAAACTCGGCGATCCTCGGGCTTTTGCGCGCCCAAGTGGATAGAGTCCCCTCCGGCAAGCGTTGTTGCCTCGCTTGTTTTCAGCAACGCGGCCGGGAGGATAACAAGCTAGGCGCCGCAGCCTTGCGGCAACTCCGTCTGCAGACATGTGTTGCAGGCTGGAGTCCCGAGACAAGCCAGGGTTATCTATCCACCGCGTTATCACGACGATCTTGAATCTTCCGAAGCCAAGCACCCCCCACGGATACGCGGCGATCAGGTAACCGTATCGTCCAACGTCCCAACGAGACACGCGATACCGCGCCCTTGCCTATGCGCTCCGACGAAGCTCACGTCAACCTTCCGGGAAGTGTTTTTTGCTTCGGCGCCTCGATGAGCGATACACCTCGTTTTTCCTCGGCACACACCGTCTCCGCAGACAGTGAGCTTATCTTGAGAGCCTCGGCCCTTTACTAGTTGAAATCTGTACAGGATCTGGCGACATGGTGTCGTTGGAGTCGTCCCTCCACCTCGAAGTGATATTGGAGGCCTGGTCCACCGGATCCCCCCCAGTCGCTTCGAGTATGGAGACGACCTGCATTGCCGCCCTTTCCCCGGCTGCGACCTGCAAGTAGAGCCTGGTAACGTCCCCATCTGGCAACCCGATATCACAGACCAAAGCTTGCTTGGCAGTCGTCTTTTGGCTGGAGCTGGCGCTTTACTCTGCTGACGACGGCCGAGCCCTGTGCCGCACATCCGAAAAGTGAGTGCGGCGTCATTCGCCCCAGCTGCGACTATGAGACGAAACGGGAGGGGCCGGTCCCCCCTCCGTCATCAATGTCATTTACGGCTTGTTCTCCTAGGCAAATGTAGGGAGGTAGCGGCGTTGGCTTCATCTTGTCTGGGGCATACAGCGTTGCCACCAGGCCCACGTCATAATATCAGGATACCAGCTGCCTTTTGCAGTCCGGAGCCAAAGTCAGCCTATCTTTGTGGTATCACGCATATCAGCGGATTCCGACCGTGCCGGCCAAGAGTCATTGCGACGGGGTGTATGGCATGCCAGATAAACCAAGCGGGCCATAACCGCAGACCACGCTGGAAGGTACCAGCCCGTCTGGAGTGGTATGCTGCTTGGCCAGGTTCATTACGGACGGCACTAGCAAGACTATCGTATGATAGTAGAGACTTTAGTTTTGACCTCTCTGAGAGCAGCACCAAGGAAGGCGTTGCAAGGAGCGGCTCTTGAAGCCGCCGGTCCGAATGAGGGCACGGAAATCAAGGGTCGACGCAGACGGGGCAAACAGAGGCTTTGCACGGGGGAGGAAGCCGACTGGCAGCCGGAGGTGGTCCGTGACGCTGGCGGTCCTACGGAAGCGAACACAACCGACTCTTTCCGTCGTTTTGGCACGGGGGCTTACGTCGGTGTCAAACAGCACTTGCTGAACTACGTCTAAGCTCTCGACCGGAATGCTGAATTGCTTCCCCGCCCCCAGCTTTGATCAACTGTGGTATGGAACTGGACGGCTGGAATCTGGAACTTAACCCCTCAGGCTGTGCGCCGTATTCGCACGCCGATCCTCGTCCCCCGACATCGACATGCCCGTCCCATTTCCCTCCCCCATCAGCGGCTGTGCAACATTCAGTCGCACGCCCCAGCTTGGTCCGAGCGAGGCCGATCGCTGATGTGTCTCCTTTTCCCCAGACGTTGGGGTGTGCGTTTGAGCTTCTCATTGAACCACATATAGTTTCTGGGGTCGGTAAGACAAAGGTCAGCAGCGACAGGGACTTCCCTGTATTGAGTTGGCGCGGGGTTTGTCTAGCATGCAAACCGCTTTGCCACGTTCCGCAAGGAAGTCCGTGTGGGCAGCAAAAGGAAGGGGGAAAAGCCCCGTGTGAGTTGCAAAGCGCGGGGGGAAGCTTTCGCCGACCGCGTTTGATTGAGGCTCGTCTCTCCTTAAGCTACAGAGGTTCGGAGTAAGCTACGAAACCTTGTGCATTTTGACGTCGAGCTTCGCCGCGGGGAGGTTCCAGGGACGCGGGCAGAATGTTTGTCTCACTAAACGGGCCGTTCGCGATATTCGCGAACGAGCGCCTACCTACACGAACAAACCCACCGGCGGAGCCCGAACGAGCCTCAACCGGAGGCCGCGGCTACGGCTTTGGCTGGGGCCGGAGAACGCAGACGCTGGTGGTACAGGGCTCATTCGGCGTCTTTTCACATAGGGATCTACAGCCGTGATTTGAGGTCCAAACCTTGACCGTAGTGTAGTGCCTGGGCATCGTGGGCCCTGCCAAGGTCTTGTCCCCGCGCCACCGGCAACAGCTCCAGGCATCCGCGCCGACGAGATGGGACTGTGATGCGGAGGGGTTCCAATCTGGCTTTCTCGACGAAGCAAGGGAGGCGTCAAACATGGAACATTATGAACAGAGTTTTCTGCTGAGCAACTCGTCCGGGGAAGCTTTCGACGTCTTTTTTTTTTTTTTTGCCCATTGTCCCTTCCGACTGCCCCGTCTGTACCTGGCTTGCCCTGGTAGAACGGGCGGCCGGAAGGTCGGGAGATCGGGAGCTATGGGCGTTCCCTCGAGGCCAAACATAGGGGCGTGTAAACCATGTTACGCATCGCGAAGATGCGATGGTGTGCGTCTCCCCGCGCGGACGACCGCGGCAAGGGCCATTGCGATTTGCAACAGACGATGGGTAGCGCTTACACCGGGGAACCGGGGAAGGGGTACCGGGGAGAGGGAGACACACAGGCGCGGGTCCAAAACGGGCCTCGTCGGATTCTGATTCTGACCCTCCCCTCTCATGTCCCTATCGTTAGTCGTCAGGCCCGTCTCGAGGCAGCTCGCCGAGGAACGCAGCGACAAGAGTGTACAAGATGTTTATTGCTGACGCTCGGGTGCACGGTAGCGAGATAGCAGGCAGGTTTGGTGGTTGTGCGACGGGGTCTAGAACATCCCACACCCACCACACACCACTCACCGGAGGAGTTCCGAAGGGGTGACGACGCAGGAGAGGAGGCGGAGGAGGGTGTGGTCATGATCGGGCCAGGGGAAAAAACAACAAGGACGTGAAGAATCAAAAGTACATGCCCCGATGCTGGAAAATGTTATTTGCGTCAACGACTGCGGCCTGGCGAGAGGACTGTACATCCAGGCGTTGGCGGTTCGGCCGCGATGTCCCCCCCCCCTTTTTGCTGTTGGATAAACGTTTGCCAGATGGTGGGACGGATGCGACGAGGCGTATGTTCCGGCGGGGTGTATTCCAGCTGCAAGACGACGCCGCAAGATTTTTGCAAACACCACTCTCCTTGGCGACTCACGTCCCCGTAGTGGGCTGGCTGGCTAGCTGGCTACACAGGGTCGCCATCGTCAAGCGTGTGAGGTGATGGGATGCGGTGGTAGTCGGCACGGAGAAGTCCCCGAAGCTATTCCCGGCCGATAGAGCACGCAAACCTCCTCCAGACGCTCGTGAAAATGGCGCCCCGCTCCCCTCGCCCCCCGTTTGCGGAGCCTCGCGTCGTCCTAGACGGAGTTTTTTACGGTGGTACGGCGGCCGAATTAGACGCATGTGGCCCGTTTTATTTTCGTCCTCGGTGCTAATGTCTTCCTCCTGTTTTATCCTTCTTCTTTTCTTTTTTTTCTTCCCCTTGTTGCTTTTGTTCTGCAAGTCATAGCCGCAGCGGGGGGGGGTTCGCCGCGAACGTGGGTTGTGCTTGATTTCTTTTCTTTCCCATGCTAGAGCGAATTGCCTAGCGTGGTAATTTCTCCACGAGTACGCCCGTTGGTGGCACCGCTAGGAAAGGGGCGGCTAAGCCACGGAGACCAAGTCCGAACAGAAACGGCCCCAGGAGGGCGAATCGACGATGGAAAGCAATGAGGCGTAAATCTCTCTCTCTCTCTCTCTCTGTCTCACTCTCGCGCGACTTCTGCGTGGTGTGCGTCGTAAATCTTGTACCTTGAACCGGCAGACGTGGGCCTCTGGCTTGGGAGGGCCGCTTTCTGTCTGGCGTGCCAGCCAGGTTCAGGTTGGTTTCCTCCTTGACAAGTGACGAAGACGGTAGCTCTCAGCTTTACCTGAAAGCCTCCCTCGGGAAGTCTTGGGATTTCTTAGGGGGGGACGGGCAAATCAAAAGACTTCTTGGTGGTTCCTGCAAAGTCTTGTCCGGTTTGCGGTTCGGGTTCGGTGCACCTCTCTCAACTTGCCCATTTTTGCATGTGGGATCACCGTCCCCATAGGGCCGATCTACACCCATTGCATTACGTACCCTGAGAAGCCGTACCCTAGAAAGCGTACCTACCTTGAGGAGAAGCAGATCAGTGTCTAACTGCTCTCACTAGACCAAATTCTCGGGGACTTTGCCCACCCCCAGATGCCCTCTTGCGTCGGAGCTTCCCATCGATCGATGCTGGGGTTGGAGAGGCTCCTCCTAGCGTGTGGGCTCAAGTTCCGAACCTCATTGATCCAATACAACCCGGATGGGTGATCTCGAATGACTTTCCAGCGTAATGATGGATTCAGCCGTTTACGCACATCATACTGCAACTAACCTACCCCGAGACTCGCCTCGCCTGCGGCAGGGTAGGGGCGACTTGCATGTCCCAGCAGGTCCTTTTCCCCGGCTCCTGCTCTGGTGTTGGGAGTGCCACGCTTGTCTATACATGACGCCGGGCATGAATCGAACCTCCTCTCATATCGTTTCGCGATGTCACTACCTCACGGCACTGACGGCCATCGCTGTCGAAAGTGTCTCGGCAGAAGGAAGAATGAGCGAAGCATTGGCGTGCGTGTATTCGTGTACCTCGACGACGGTGAGGGTGTGCGTCACCGTGTTGGCAGAGACATGACAATGCATGGCGATGCATTGGCGATGTATGGGCACGACATGCCAAGGGCAAGGTGAGGAGACGCAAGGCAAGGCAAGCGCCTGCTGAAGCGGCATATCGGGCGTCTTGAGCGACCTTCTCGCGCTTCGCTGACTGGGCTCTCCGGGCACTGCAACGCTCGTCGCCGCCATGCCGTCCTACGAAACGTACATCAGCAGCTGCAGCTGCAGCATCATGCACGCCTTGCCATGCCTCCATGGCCCTGGTCTTATGCTCTTGCCCAGGCCCAGGCCTCTCCGCTCCCTATCTCCACCTCCCGTATCTTCCATCTATCTCCTCCCCGAACCTACGTATGCTCATGTATACAATAGGTAACAGGGTCCCCACCGTATGTGACCTGAGATATGGAGGCATTGCAACGACAGATTCTACGGTTAGATGGACGAAGGGCGTGAAGACGCGAGAGACGCGAATGGATAGCGATTGGACAGGGAAAATGTCGATCAATGACCATGTCTACATGTTATCGGCAGTAGGAATCTTGGTACGGGGGGGGAGCAAGCAGACGAGGCGTTAACTTTTGGTATGCATCGTCGAATGGCAAAGAGTGGTTCCTCCGAGACAGAGAGGGGGAGGCTGACAAGCAGCGGCGGCAGGGCGCGGATCCGCTGCCGCTGCGACGGGATTCCACGTAGGTGGATGGATGGATGGATGCGACCAACATGGCGTATGGAAATGTCCGACATGGCGATGTTGGATTTGATGGATTGGGCGGGAGGGCGCGCGGCGGTGGGGAACGAAGGGGACTTTGTAAGCCAGGGTGCTCCGATCGAATCACCTCCTCCCCTTACTATGTACCTCTCGCACATCAATTGGGTGAGCGAATTGAGCCAACCATGGACATGGCGGGCCAAAAAAACAACAACTTGCAAGACAAGGATGAGGGGAGGAACTTGTGGGTTTCCCAGATGGTCGTGAATTTAACACGAGACTTACACACACGCGTGCCCGCATACAGATTTGACAGGTCCATGGCGTGAAGTGGGTGGCCGAGTATGCGACGATGGCAGCATGACGGAGGCTGGCCCTGCGTTCTAGGCTCTCCGTGCCCCACTTCGCTGGAGCAAACCCGTCATCATCGACATGTCATGGTGCAGCACCGCAGCGCCTGGAGAGTACAAAGGGACGCGTTTCGTGCTGCATGTACACCAAGTATCCAAGATGAAGAAGAAGGGGTGTGCGATACGGGGCGGGGGAGCGGGACGCACATCAACAACAACAAACCCTCGACTGGGCGGCTGGGCACTGCGGGCTAAGTCGCCCAGCATCAGCAAGATGGAAGCTCGGTCAAGGGAACCACAGGTCGGACCCTAGGTTGGGCGGGCGGGCAGTATCACATGCTGCATGCTTGGTGGTTGCGTTGGATCTGCCAGCGTTCACCACCACCACCACCACCACCACCAACGTATTCACCGAGGGGTAGCATAGATGAAGAGGAGGTAGCCGCATATGCAGATGTGGGATGCGAGCGGTCATATTTGCAAATATGTCGGGGCAGTTATAGAACGTACGATTAGGAGCATCGTTTGGTCCGTGGCTTGAACCGCTGAGACGAGACCAGGGGGGTTTGCTCCAGCTCTAGCTCCAGCTTTTGCTCCTCTTGTTATTCCTTTTCTCTTACTTTGCAGCGGCTTCCGTCTCCGCGTTTGATCAAGGCGGCCATATGCCCGTGATGGCTTCGCCAGGACGCCGTGCATTCATATATGTGTTCGGCTCAGCCCCTCATCTGCAAAACGGTAATTCACGCATTCTCCTCTACTACCGAACCAGGAGAAGGAAATGAACTGGTCGTACAGGCTTTGTCATATATACACCGGCTCCATTAAAAAACGTAGCGCCGCGGTGTTTGACGGGGTCCGGACGGTCCAGGGAGGTGTCTCGATCACGCCCCGGAACATAGTCCATGTGGCGTGAGTAGAATAAGGGTTGACGACTACGGTGTCACCAAAACAGTTGTGTAACCAAATGGGCATCTATATGCCCGCACGTAGTGGCTCGGCTGGCTGATGTTGCGAAGTGGCATTTCGGAAGACCGGATGATGAGGTTTCAGCTTTGCGCAGCGAAGGCGACTTCGGGAGGAATACGGAAACTGGCGCAGAACATGCGTTTCTTCGGAGCCACGTCTCGTACATTGTAGATGTCCATTTCACCATACTTGTCTGCGTCTCCGAGCTTGAACCTAATGCCGATCTCGGCATAGATGCGCTCGAGGATGTCGTTCAGGGGCACCTCATCATCGCTCTTGAGGGCGAAGCAGTGAACGTGAACCATGGGAAGCTTAGTCGACGTGTGCGGTTCGAAGAGCTTCTCGTGTCCGTGGTAGATGCCCTTGTAATGGTTGACAAACGTGTAAGCGGAAGCAGGTAGGTTCATAACGTAGTGTGAGATTGTCGGCGGGATCGGAATGCGCTTCGGCTGAGGGGGCGGGTTTTGAGGCTTGCTCCTGGACTGCTTGGGCTTGATGACTGCACCTTCTCCTCGAGTTGAAGCATCGTAGACTTGACGAACCGCCTCTTGGATGAACTTGCGGCCGTCCATGTTGTACGGGCGGACGTATTGCGTGACCTAAGATGTTAGGTGATATCCAGCACTCGACTGCCTTCTCGACTCACCTTGTTCTTCTCAACTGCGGCATTGAGGTATTTGAAACTTTCCGGGTTCATGTCATTGGCAAAGACAAAAACCCTTTCCTTCCAGCAGGGACAGCAAATGGACCGATGCCTGCCATAACATCCGCAACAACCTCACCAGGCTTGAACTTGCTGATGAGTCTGGTGTGCTCAGGCTCCAGCTTGCTGTTCCAGTACACTTTGGAATAGTCGAATTGGAAGATGCAATCGTTCTCCTTGACCTCGACGTTCAGGTCGTCAGGCCCGCAGAGAACCTCGTACGCGAACGTTCTGAAGACTGACTCGTTGCCGACATCGTCGACCTTGTTGATGACAGTGCGGATCTTGGGGTTTTTGTCAAGGATGACCTCGGCGATGATCTTCTTGTATGGGAGATACTGGTCCTTGAGATTAAGGTGCGCTGCGGCGGTCAGTAGATGTGGATTCAAAGATGGCCAGTCGCGACCTACCGACATGACCGGCTGTGTTGAAGCCGACTGGAATCTCTACGTGGAGTTCTTCCGGCAGTATGGAAGTCATTACATCAACTTGGATGATGGTCAGCACTCGATATCTCATCCCCGACTCGTCACAGACTTACGGTAGCTCCAGTAGTCATAGTCGAGTTCCAACTCGTAAGGCACAACATCCAACTCGCCGGTCTTGACACCCTCCTGGAAGACGGGTCCCCATGTCGTTGGTGCTGGGTTTGGTGTTAGTAATGGGTCCACGACAAAGACGTCCGCATCAGGGGAGCATACCATCGGCTTTCACACCGGGGCGCAACAGGAGACACTTCAGCCCGGGGGCCTTGGGATCATTCCTGCAAGAGTCCAGACGGTCAAGCCTCAGGAGCTCTTTGGACTTTTCCAGCTCCTTGCGGTACTTGGAGATGTTGCGGGGATCCTTGACCGTGGCAGCAGCAAGCTCCAACTTCTTGGAGAAGAGCGAACGGTCCAGGATGGTGGCCGCACGGGCCAGAGGCGCACGTAAGTTGATCATGTCAGAATCTTGGTTCTGATTGAATCATTAGAATATCATCTAGAAGACCGTACAACAGCTGTGCAGGGGTCTTGACTTACCGCCATGTTGAAGAGTCGATGATCGGGCACAGTTATGGAGGGGCAAGGCTGAGGAAAAACTCCATTTAGCGCGGGGCAGGGGTCCCAAAGTGGCGTACAAACAAGGCTGCGCCACAGTCGTTGTCGGTGGATGGACCATTTCGGGGTCTGAGCGCCACAGACGGGATGTCACTGAAGCTCCACGATATAAGCGTCATCGATGATTGGTTGACGGGCCTTTCTAAAGGGATGAGCGAGCTCTACCCTGTAGTCTCAACACAACACGAACTATGTTTGTGAGCGATACAGTTCTTATCATCGCTCGCTAGAACCAATTCGTGGACTCCTAGAGAGTCTAACTTAATAGTGTGGCTACTTCCGATCAATTAAGTTAGCCTTCACATGTGGCAAGTGTTTAACGGTGCCCGACCCACTCAAGCTTGTTCATCACTTACAACACACACCAATCGTTCAAGGTTTGGCACACATCATGTCTAAGAAACGAACTCTGGACGCATTTTTTGCACCGTCCGCGAAGAAGTCGCGCAAAGAAGACGAGCCGGCCGAGATTGTATGGCTTCCACCTGCCCTTGAGCTCACAAGCGATCACTAACATGAGTTTGCTTACACAAGATCGGGCGCTCTACCCATGCCAACTATCCCATTGCGATCTCAGAGTTACCATCGAGTATCAGCAAAGACCTCTCCTCGCTTCCGGCACGTCCGGGCAGAGAGATCAATGATCAGCCTGATATTGACCTGGTCTACTTTGAGCCATACATCCCCTCATACTTGACCAAAGAGCTCTTCGAGTTTCTACGTGCCGAGTTGCCGTTCTATCGAGTCGAGTATGACATCAATAGGGGCGGTTTCCAAACTCATATCCGGACGCCAAGGTATGCCGCTACTCTCTGTGACCGTCCATAGCCCTCACACGAACGGACATAGATACACTACAGTGTTTGGCCTGGACGAGACAGCCCGGTTTGAGGAAGATGGCTCGGTTGTGGATGTCAAGTCCGGCTTCAAAGTGGATGACAAGCGATATGAGCGGTATCCGCCACGACCGATCCCCAAGTGCCTGGATGACCTCCGTCGCTCGACCGAGGCCGCAACGGATTGCAAGTTCAACTTTTGCCTCGTCAACTACTACGCTTCGGGCACGGACAGCATCTCCTTTCACAGCGACGATGAGAGGTTCCTAGGCCTCGACCCCGCCATCGCTTCTTTTTCTCTCGGCGCAAGAAGAGATTTCTTGATGAAGCACAAGCCCATGCCTCCAGATGATCAGAACCCAGACAGGCCACAACCCAAACAGCTCAAGTTACCTCTGGCCAGCGGCGACATGATTCTCATGCGCGGACGCACGCAATCCAACTGGCTGCACTCGATACCCAAGCGGACCGGAAAGAACGCGGAAGACGGCGGGCGAATCAACATCACGTTCAGGAGAGCCATGGTGAAGGACGGAACTGAAAATTACTACAACTACAACGTTGGAACTGGGCCTGTCTATCGGTGGGATAAAACGATGCGGGAAATGCGGGTATCTTCCGCCAAAGACCAGCTCGAGGGAAAACCATAAAAAACTCTCATAGGGTATACTCAACTTCAACACCTTCTTATTTGCCTTTGCGGAACTGCGCGTTGGCGAAATTGTTTAGCGCTCTCAAAAAGACCTGGTATCCGACGCCCTGGTTGTCTGGGAGGCAGAAAATCTCGGTCAGACGAATGGGCCAGGGTGGGTAGCCGTCAAGGTCGACGTAAGGAGCGAAAGAAATGAGCAAATCAGGCTCCGGCATGATGCCCTCAGACAGCTCTGCATCGATCAAATCTGTGCTGATGTCGCGGGGGTGGATTTTGCCTTTCTGAGACATCTCGGCCAATGTTCGTGTAAGGTCGACCATGGAGTCTCGGCCGTCCTCGGCAGAAATAAAGAGGACCTTGAGGTGACGCGGATCGTCGCGTGCGAAGTCGCCGTGGGCTGGGGATTCGAGGACATCGTCGGCATGGGGCATGGCCACGGTGAGGGCCGGCTGGTGTCTGCCGAAGTAGGATCGGGACTTCTGGATGATGGACTGCTGGAGGTGGGGGAGGTAATGCTTGAGGAGGCCTGGCGCAAACGTTAGTAATGACACCAAATGTTTTCCATGGTGGTATAGCTTACCTGTTCGCTCATACACCGTCAAAACGGGAATCTTGGCGCACACACACCATACGGCAATCTCGGCTGCCTCAGCAACCAGTCTTTCTAGCTCAGCTCCGTGTCTGCTGCCCTCTTCCCGCTTCAAGATAACGCTGAGGTGCTTTGGCTTCTTCTTCAGGCCAACAACATCGCGCTCAATGTATTCCGGAGTCCGGTGGTGGTAGAACAAGATAGAGGATACGTGGTAGCACACCAGGTGCCATGCCTGTCGTATCCTGATGTACAGGGAGAAGAAGGTGTGCAGAATCGTGTAAATGGCGAGGTGTAGCTTCGAACGGAGGACGCGTCGCAGGCCGAACCTGCCCTTAGGGGGGATGTCGTCGTCACGCCATTGGCGTTGCGTGTCTTCGGGCGGTCCGTCTGGGAGGTAGTCCTGAAGGGACAGAGCTGTCAGCTGATGGTCTGCTAAGCAGAAAGAAAGGCCATACCTCAAGTAGTTTTCTCTTCTCTTCCTCCTTGAGATTCACCACGTCGTCCGTTCTTAAGATCTTGCGATCTCTCATGGTAGGCATTTCGGGGGATGGTGGTGGTTTGCGACGCGATCAGTCAAGGGGCGTTTGTATGAAGCTGCAGGTGGGATGCTGGAAATTTGTTGAGCAGAGGGAGGAAAGTCGATGCGAAATCTGGCGCGGGACAGCTAGCTGTGTGCTGATGGGATATATGAAGGGAGGTTACGTCGTACGCCGTGTGTTTTCGCAGTTCACCGTTGTTCTTGGCAGGATGACGACGTCTTGAGCGAGGAAACTTGTCGAACTCGGCCTTGTCGCCCAGAGTCAGTTCGGCAGCTGCCATGGAGTTCCATGAGTGCGACGCGGTAATACGACATTGGTTGGGCTGGTGGATTCCTAGTGGATGCTGCGCCGCTACGTCCAGCAAAGCTGCCCGTGGCTGAGGGCTCAGCTGAGGTGTTCTTTCCCCAATCTTTCCAGTAAGTGGGGCACATTTGTGGTACGTACCCCGTCCTGATTGGGGAAAGTCCAGGTACTTCAGCCACCCGTTGGCAGCGGCCGGCATGTCTTCCCGAAGCTCCATCGAAAGAGTTGAGCATACTTTCGGCCGCTCGAGCGTATTTTACACCTGGCAGCGCCTTCTCCCGGCCGAAAGCGCCGACTGCCTGAACTCCGATGTTTCGGGCATGCCCGGCCTGCGCTCCCGACACGGGCGAGAGAGCTGGTGAAGTCTACTGAGACTAGGCAGAACTTGATCGAGAAGGCATATATACCTGCTACTTAGTTTAGGTCTGTCAATATAATTGTACACTTGGTTCTCATGTAAGTTGACCGCATTCCTTCGTGTGAGTGAGGGGAATGGACGACGTTAGCGGAGCCTCGTCTTGCTTACCGTACCCGCCTCATCTGCAAGCTACCAAATGTACAGCGGCATTTTCAATCAACACGTTAAGCATTTCCTCGAACCCTAAGTTTCTGTCCATTGGTGCTACATCGCCTCCTACTTCGGGCGATCAGCATACAAGCGCTGGTAGCAACCTAACAGAAGACGTAACAACGCCCACCTATAAGCCAGCCATATTGCTACGCGACAACCCCTCCTCAGCTCAGCCAGGTGAAGAAGAGAAACGATGGTACATGAAACAAAGGTATCCTTTTTCCACCTCTCCGTAGAACCGTAAGTTGATCAAACTGGCCAGCGCCTGAAGAAGGGGGATTCACTACAGTATTACATATTGCGACCTAGCTGTACCAGTAACAGACGTTTCTGCCCATACATACTCCTGGAACTGGCACCAAGACTCTAAAAGATTACCTGTCATGCTGATTGCAACCGTAACATGCCAAACTCGCGGTCCTGCTTGTAGCCTGTTGCCGGAAGTCTTTGCGCAAACAACTGGCTCTGGACCCTGCCGAGTCTATTTTTCTTACAGGTCCCCTTTATTGCTGCACCATATACCCTGAGGTACTAAGAATGTGGTAAATAGCTCAATTGTATGGTCTTGGTTTGGGGTATCTTTGGTTGCCAGTGTTGCGACCATCGTTATAGTGCCCACGGCATATGTGTGGAACTGGTATGTATCCTGTTCTGAGCTTTGCGTCTAGTTTTTTCTAAGTCACACTTACGGGACAGTTGGCAAAACATCTAGTTCAAGATGGACAAATGTAATTGGGAATAGTAACTTTCACGACTTTATATCGTTCTACTTCCACTGGTGAAACAACAGTTACCAGCGCCGGTCTCCTCATTTATAACTATGTTATGTAGTGAGTTTGTGACAAAATGAAGACGGATCTGCTTTCTTGGGTCTTTTAGACGTGGACGAATTCATTCTCTGCCACATCCTGTAATTTGAGCGAGGTTAGCAGTGAGTGAGACCTTGAATTATTCGACTATTCTCACTCAGTTTCTGAACAGCTGAATCAACGAGACTTGGTTCTCATCCATCACATTAGACGACGGGATCTCCTCAATTACTCTGTTCTACGACACTGTCCCTTAAGCCTAGTAGCTAACGGATCCCGTCGTCTATCGAATTCTCATTGGGTGATACCCGCATAGCCTAGATTGATGAGGCTGTAGCCCTTAGCGGCGCAGGCTCCGTACTAGTGAGCTCGAGGCTGACATGGAATGAACACCGATACTGAGCTCGAGAGACTAGTGCCAGTGTGTGCTACCATAAGCCTTACTGACCGAATATACTTCCAATGCCCTCCCATGATACATCTCTGTCTTTGTTGAGTTTCAACCATTGCGAGACTCGACTGCCACCACATGAACCACATCCGCTACGTCTGTCATGATCACATCTCTGTCTTCGTCAACCTCCCAAGTTACGGCAGGTTTTGATTTTTGCTTTCCTGGATAATGATTATACTGACCTTGTGCCTCTTTTACTGGTAGAAACCGGTGCTCTGCCAGACCTTTTCCCGTTTTGACCATCAAGGTGAGTGCAGCTGTGATTGTTTTCTGATAGAAGAAGTGTTCTTTCCTTTCTTGACAAAGACTGGGATAGAGTGCAGAGAGGTGGTTTGAGATCGTTGTTATGTTGTGAAATAGAAGGTGCCTTGGGGTTTCTTGTGGAATTTTATCCTCTTTTATATTTCTCAATTCTGGAAAGCTGGCTCTTGGCAATACAAGTCACTGAATCACTGCTGTTATCAACTGGCATGGGTCGAAATATCGGGGGTCACGTATCACACCACAGTGATATATAGAGGTTAGGCATTTTTCTTGGCTGAACCGCATTTACGAGCAAGGAAGCGACGCCCCTTCAGGTTGGGCTGGTTAATTCATGCGTCGTGGAACCTCTCTAGGTGATCCCAAATAGATTGAACTCGCTCTTAGTTATGATGGATATTGATTCGAAACTCCTGAACTGATTAGGTTCAGAAATCTGGAAGTGTTGTGCCGATCTTATGCTTTCCAGCTAATTCAAGGATGACCTTGCCCAAGGAGAGGTCCATAATGCCGATCCCAACGCTCTTGTACACAATCAAGCCATTTTCAAGCCAGTCGCGCAGCAGCTCTGCCTCAGCTTCATTCGCCTTACGAAGACTGTCGGTGAATTCTCCGACCTCAATGATCTTCTCAGCAGGGATTTTGGCGTCCACCAGTTCTCCGGCCTCCAAGAAGCACGCCTCACGGCTGTCCACGAAGACGACGCCGTCCTTTTTGCCTCCACGTGCAGAGCCAAATGTCCCAAGAGGGGTGTCTATGACAGCGCGAAGGAAGTCAGGGTCGATCTCCTTCATGTTAAGCTTGTACGACCCAATGGCAGAGATATATCGACTCTTGGCCGAACCGCGCTCGGAAGTTAACCATTCGGCAGGGAACAGGCGTTGCGTAGATGGCGTCGTACAAAAGATGACATCGCTCTCTTCCACAACGTGGCGGAGGAGATCGTTGTCAGGGGCATTATCAGGGGTCGCCTCGATGACGGTGAATGAGACCATATCGGTGCTTCCCACCCCGCTGGCCTGGCCCATGGTCCTCAGCCGCACCATGAGCTTCATAGCGCGCTCTTGTGAGCGATTGACAATGGTGATGTTTGTGATGTCACTCCCTCGAAGGACGAGAGCAAGCCGAAGATGCCATAGAGCCTGCTTCCCCGCGCCGAAGACGACAATATTCCCCGTTCGTTTCCGGTACTGATATAACAAGATGGAGCCAAGAGAGGTCCGGAAGGCCGTGAGCTCCTCTGCGTTGATGATGCCGACCGCCTTGCCGGTTCCGTCGCAGACGGTGAGAACGCAGCGGAGATCGGTCGATCCAGAAGATGGAGGTGGGAGGCCAACTATCTTGACGGACATGCCGTCTTCCATCGTTGCCGGCATGAAGAGGCCGGTTTGGCCGTTGGGTCGGACTACAGCGGCACGATGGGGCTGGTATTGTGCTTCCTGCCCGACCGAGTATGATAAGAATGCATCGGTGAGGACGTCGGACATGAGAGCCACATCTTCCGGGCCGAAGCCCTGGAAGAGCTGCTTCACATTCTGGTCCGACAACACCGTGAAAGCCATGGTGAGTAGAGGGTTACGAATATGTGCGGTGATTTCAAGTCGAAGTCTGGAATCGTCTTCCAATTGTGACCTCGCTGGTCGACTGTAAGATATAAGAAGGAATTGCTCTGGTAAAAAGCCATTTCGTTGAAACCGTATGAGATACAGCGCGTGCGGAGGTGAGCCGGTGCCCCTCCGAGGGGTTTGTATTGTGGGGATCCCGATCGGGTCCCTGTCCCCGAAGCCCGATCTCGGATACCTTGCCTCGGGGTGGCCTACCTACTCTCGGGATGACCTACCGCTTTAATCGTGCAGAGCTGCTATATTCCATGAATGGCAGCCTCCATTTAGCTACGTGAGTTTTTTGATGACGATACACTCCGGCTTTTCTGTATGTTCTACTTTTGTCGCGACTTCTCCATGCTGCCTTGCTAGATTAGTTGATAGTTTTGGGCACCAACAAGTCAGGTCATGTAGGCCGAAGGGCTGGCACAAGCTAAGTTACACCATACTTTCGATGGTTGAATCCCAAATTGATGCCACATTGGACAAGTGGACTGCTGAATACCCCATCCATCTAAACAGCTCACTTGCGTCGTTATTTGTTTGGGTGGGTGTCATCGGTGTCGTTCCCGTGCGTGAGCCGATGCACGACTGGCGATCATCACTCTGGGCCCAGCTCGATATTTCCCCTTTTCCGTCGACTCCACTCGGTGTTGATCTGGTAGACGAGGTGTAGCCTAACGACTAGCTTGTCTTTTGAAAACTGAGGTGAATGGGTCAAAGCGGACAACAATCGAGGCGTTGATGAACTTAATACTGTGACCCGGTGAGTTGCACGGAGTTACGGGCTGAGGGCCAACTGAATACCCAGGTGCTCCACATTACGAAGGCTCGGGTCAACCGAAAGTCTCCCAGAAGAAATGGACCTAATATACTGAATGGGAGGTGGCTTACGATCCTTTCGCTTCCCACGCTTCACCCCGTCATTCTATAGTCATGTGTGTTACTAGAAGACGCTGGTCCGGCCTTTCGATGGCATGCGGCATTGTGTCAACACGATGTTGTGGGAGATCACCAGCATAATTCCACTAGTTCAGATGAGAACACAACGAACGTTTGGCCGATGAAATGAGCCTCGGTGGTGTTGAGCAGATGGCCCGGCTCATGCACGTCCGCTTTGTGAGCGACTCTTGCACGCCATCACAGAGCGAGCGGAACAATACCCGAACCACCTAGCACCACACAGAATATCGTCCCAAACAAGTCCGCCTCGACTTTGCTTCCGCCGATCTAGGGGCAACTTATGACGCTCCGCCAGTACGTTGTCCGAACAATGGCAGCACGTAACATCGGATTTGTCGACCTCGTCTGAAAAGTCGGAGCACAATCACAATCCAACTAATAACCAATTTCGAACGACCGGCGCCGTTGGCCGGCGGCAAAGCAAATGACGGCGAAGTTTGGAGGGTTCCTGGCAGACCAAAAACTTCGGGGGATCGTTGGGTCTTCGGCAGAGATTTGGCCCCCAAACCACAACATCTCCGCTTGATGGTCCGCCAGCATCCCCCGCCGTTGCAGACTTGAGGCAGACCATTCTGTGGACACAGCCAGTAAGGGTTGGGGGTTCCTCGGGCCACAGAGACATACCGCCCGCACATATGGCCGCCCGTCCTCCTGTTGGTCCTTGGTGGTACTCTATACTGCATTGCGTCTTCGAAACGATGCGGTGCAACACCGACTGTCGAGCACGGTACATCGTGCGCCCCCCCGTTGCGTGTCGAGCCGCCAGTTCTCTCTGCGTCCCTTTGCTGATCCCCGGCTTTGACAGGCTCAGGTGCTGCAGCGCCCCATCCATTAAGGCCCGAGAGACCCATAATTTCTAGTCGTTAAGTTTACAAACTTGCGAGTCTCGGCGCCGAACTGCCCTCTCTGGTTAGAGAAGCAGCGAGATGATGCATTGGTTTCGGCTGCACGATGTGGGCAGCATCAAAAACACCCATGCCATGCCTGCCCCTCCCTGCTAGAAGTGGCAACTGGCAGGTTTCCAACAAGAGCGAACCTGATGTCCAAGTCTCGCAACGGGTACGCTCGGGGACTTGACGTTGACAAGTAAGGTTCCTCCTGGACGGCAGACTAGTCGATCATCTCCTAGCGGGAGCCATGACACGCGGCGGGCCGTACTCGTTAGTCCTTTTACTAGCATCGCCGGATCTGTGGTATCAAATGTCTATGGAGATTGACGAGGAGCCCTAGCCATGACGGACTTTTGTGCATGGCGGGCTTTTGTTGGCCCCGGGTACGCGAGACCAGGAGGTGTCTATTACGTCTTGCTAAACCTCTTCCGCCGCGACCATGTTCTTGCCAATGGAAGGTGAGGCGATCGTAATGAGTGTGACGTTGTCGTATGCAGGGGTGTGGAGGACCATAACCATATACTGTTAGACTTTGAGTCGAGGCCGACATCGAAGATGCGCCATATAAAGATACCTCATCAGCCCTTCGAGTTGTCAACATTCAATCCTAACCCCAGACTCTATCGCCTTATTCCCTAGAAACTCAAGGAACTTTTCCAAATCTAGTTGTTTCCCTAGTCTGGTTTTAAGTCGTACACCCACCTTGAAAAACGGCCTATTCACAACACTACTTTGACGATGGAGATCCAAGTCGGGGGCTTTACGCTCTCGACCTTCATTCTGTGGCCTGTTATGATGGTCTCACTAGTAAGACCTTTGTACCTCCTATACACCATAATGCTTCCATGTGTACCACGTACACCGCTCTACCAAACAACTAACACCAACCCACCAGGTCTTCGCCGGCCTCCTCCTCACGATCCTCTACAACCTGACACTCCACCCCCTCCGCAAATACCCAGGGCCAAAACTCTGGGCCGCAACCCGTATCCCCTACTGCTTCATGGTCATCCGCGGCAACCCACACAAGGAAATCCTTGACCTTCACAAGCGCTATGACGCCGACATCATCCGTATCTCCCCCAACCAGCTCTCCTTTCAGCACCCCGACTCCTGGAAGGAGATCATGGGTCACCGCAAGGGCAAGTCTGAGGAGAACGAGAAGGACCCAGACACCATCGATCCACGCCGCACCGATATTATCTCGGCCAACCGCCAGGACCACGCGCGCTACCGCCGAATCCTCTCCCAAGGCTTCTCCGCGAAGAGCATGCAGGACCAGCAGCCCATCATCAAGGGCTACATCGACCTCTTCATCGAGCGCCTCCACAGCCTCGCGAGCGAGGGGCCCGTCGACATGGTGTCGTGGTACAACTACACCACCTTTGACATCATCGGCGACCTCGCTTTCGGGGAGTCGTTCGGGTGTCTCGATAAGTCGGATTACCATCCTTGGGTAAAGATCATCTTTGAAAACGTCAAAGTGTTTGGCTTCTTCAGTCTGGCGAGGAGCTTCAAGTTTCTCGAGCCGCTGCTCAAGAACTTCGTACCCAAGCATCTCGTTGAGAAGGGTATAAGGCACAAGGCTTTCGTTCGAGAAAAGGTGGATCGAAGGATGAAGCTCGGCACACCGCGGCCTGATTTCGCAGAGGCCATGCTGAAGAAGGGAAGCGAGGTGAGTTGTTCTAGCACACACGCCCGTCTAATCCGAGTTTCTTTGGGATACCAAGATACTGACTGAATCGCTCTTCGTAGCCCTTGAGCAACGAAGAAATATACGAAAACGCGGGAATTCTCATCGTCGCCGGCTCCGAGACGACGGCCACGGCGCTCTCGGGCGCCACATATCTTTTGACGACCAACCCGGACAAACTGTCCAAGCTCAACGAAGAGGTCCGGAGCAGCTTCTCGAGCGAGGACGAGATCGACATCCTGAGCACCGCCAAGCTCGAATACCTCCACGCCGTCCTCGAAGAGTCTCTTAGAATGTATCCGCCCGTCCCTACCGCCCTGCCGCGAAAAACGCCCCCGAGAGGACAAGAGATCCTCGGACAGTGGATCCCCGGCAACGTGAGTGCCCTCTCTTTCCGGCCCTCGTGACTCCATACCGTGGAGATTGCCCATTACCCCGTTACTGACGCGCAAACTCCTCTCCTTCAGACAACGCTGAGCACCGTCCACTGGGCTCTCTACCACAACGAAAAGGTCTTCTCCAAGCCCTTTGAGTTCCACCCGGAGCGTTGGCTTGGCGACCCGGCCTTCGCCGGCGACCGCCTCGACGCCCTCAAGCCGTTCCACTTCGGGCCCCGCATCTGCCTGGGCATGAACCTCGCCTATGCCGAGATGCGCATGATGCTGGCCCGGGTCATCTGGAACTTTGACCTGCAGTTGGCGTCCCAGAGCCAGAACTGGATCGACCAAGAGTGCTACATAATCTGGAGCAAGCCGGCGCTCATGGTCCACCTGACGCCGAGGAAGTCGGGTTGATGAAGGGGGATTGAAGGATTCGGTTGGGACACGCATGGGTAAGATTGGGTTCGGGTCTCTCATCTGGCAGCGGATGTTCAAGACGTGGACCTGTCGTTGAATCATTACAGCATCCGCCACCGTCTAAGCGTCTACCTCATCTAGCTCTATTCTCCTTCCATAGTCTTAAGTCATCCAAGTCTACCGCTCTTCTCAAAGCTTTGAGCCGTCCTTCTTCCGAGCATGTAGTCAATGCTTCCTCCGCGGCGCTCGTTCGTACTGGTTCGCCCACTTAATGTTCACCCCAATCTCGTCCGCAATCTTGTACACAAAGTTGGGCTCCCGCAGGAACTGCCGCGCGACGAGCACCGCGTCCGCCTGCGTCACCTGCCCGTGCTCCTCATCAACCTCCAGCGTCGCCACGTTCCCCTGCTCGGCTGCCTTTTGCCCGTTGGTCTCCGTGCCGGCGTACTCCTTCGCCTTCTTGGCCTGGACGATGCTCCGCGCCATCTCGCCGCTGCTTATCATGCCCACGGCGCCGATGAGGAGCTTCTTGCCCTCGGCCTCCAGCGCCGCGCGGATACGGCCCGCAAGGCTGACCTGGTAGTACGGCTCGATCACCATCTTGGCCGCCGGGTTGTTGCCGCCGGAGGAGACGTCCAACAAATCGACGCCGGCTTCCGGCAGGAGTTTGGCGAGCTTGATCGAGTCCTCGATCGTCCAGGAGGGGTTGCCGGCGTACTCCATCCACTCCGTCGCCGAGATGCGGACGAAGAGCGGCGTGCCGGACGGGATGGCGTCGCGCACGGCCTTGAGGGACTCGAAAAGGAAGCGCGTACGGTTCTCGAAGCTGCCGCCGTACTGATCCGTGCGTTTCTGCGATGGTGTTAGTTGCTGCTCCAAGACAAACGATAGGGGGAACGTACGTTGCTCAGAGGGGAGAGGAACTCGGTAAACAGGTACCCGTGGGCGGCGTGGATCTCAATCACATCGACGCCCGCCTCAATCGCCCTCTTGGCCGCGTCGGCAAAGCCCTTGACCAGGCCCTGGATCTCCTCGACGGTCAGCTCCCGCGGCGTGGCCCAGTCCTCGGTGTACGGGATCGCGCTCGGCGCAACGCAGTCGTCCGGCCACCCGCCCTCGCTCTCGTGCGCGAGCGCCTTGCCCCGCGTCTCCGTGATCCACGGCGCCAACAAGCTCCCCTTCCTCCCCGCGTGCGCGAGCTGGATGCCCACGGCCTGGTTCTGCGAGTGGATAAAGTCCACAACCCGCTTCAGTGGCGCGACCTGGGAGTCCTTCCACAGCCCGACGTCCTCGGGAGAGATGCGGCCCCGCGCCTCGACGGCCGTGGCCTCGATGATGGTTAGCGCGGCGCCGTGCAGCGCGAACTGGCCCAGGTGCACGAGATGGTAGTCCGTCAGGTGGCCGTCCTCGGCCGAGTACTGGCACATGGGGGAGACCCAGATGCGGTTGTTCAGAGTGACGTCGCGGATTCTGAGGGGCTTGAAGAGCGTTGGCGCGGATGAGGTGTTGACCGGGGTGCCGGCAGGAGGCTCCTGGGCCGGGGTATAAAACGGCACGCCTGGGGCGGCCTTGTTGGCGGTGCTCGGCATCGTCACGAGGGGGAGGTGGGCGTGACGCGGGGGGTTTACCTGTTGCTTGCGTGCACGGTTGCGTTATGTTGCGCTGGTGATAGTTCCCTTGGAAGACGTGTCGTTTTGGGCCGTGGTTTCGAGTTGACGATGGTGACACAAAGACTTGAGGGGTGAAGAGGGATTTTTATTCTGCAAGGTTGCGGGAGACGAACGCCGGGATGTGTATTCCGTGTCGAGAGCCTGAGGGCTTTTCTCCCGATTTGTCAAGCGCGTGGACTGTTGCTCTGGTCTCTAAACGAATACAGAGTTGCTGGCGTAATGAGCAACGCTTTCCTTTTGGATATCACTCAGAAAGTCACAATGAGTCGTGGGGCAATTGGATTTATCAGCGCGGGTCAAAGTGTCTCCATTGCACCTTCTAACCCATGAAACACGGCGCCCTACACACTCGCCCTGAACCCCCGTTGCGGAAGCTGCTTCTTTCGATGAAGCCATCCTGGCCCTGCTGAGTAATTGCAGAACTGGCGTCAGTCATCGGTTAGGCGGGCGGGCGGGCGGCATCTTAGGCCGGAGCGGGTCCCCCGAGTGGCGTCATTCCGAGTTGTGCCACTGTGATGCCGAATCGGCAACCGGCCTACGCCCCTCCTTTGCACACCCTTGGAAGTAGCCCCCAACTCCGCTTCTTGCCAAAGTGGTTGCCGAGTTTCTTCTAAATGAAGGGGTTTGTTTCTCTCCATGTCTTAGACCAAGCCATGTCCAAACGCTGCGGGGGTCTCACTTTGACGAGATGTCACCGTCGAAGAGGGCATGCGACCAACCTGTGCACTGCATGTCTCACGAGGCATATATGCCCGCAGGGAAACCAACGTCCCTGCTCGTTACCATCAAGGGCTGAGACGCCATTCCTGCAAAGTTAAGAGAATGCACATAGAAACCGTTGAGATAAGACGATTGAACCTTGCAATTTCATGTATTCATGAACATACTACATTTATAAGACCTCTGGCCCGTTAAGGGGCTCTTTTCGAGTCTGTCTTTGCGTCCAGGACCCATTCCCTGAAAGCGGTATCTGTTGAATGCCTTACTTTTTCCCTGAGTCCCAAACCCGCTTGCAAAACGCCGAGGAGATGTTGAAAAAAGAACGCCTATGTTGAATGTGCCCGAAACCTTCCCCTAATTTTCCGGTTATCCCCGCGGGTATTGCCACGTCATGTCTGTTGAATAGACTATCGTTCCCACCCAACACCTAAAACACACTCATGTACACCGCACCGTCCGCTTAAGCCTTGTTGGCGTACTTTTGGCGGAAGAACTTGGCAGCGTTGACCATGTTGGTCAGCGCAGCCTTGGTCTCGGGCCACTGGCGAGTCTTGAGACCGCAGTCGGGGTTGATCCAGAGCTGCTCAGGGCGAAGACCGTTGTTGAGCATCTCCTCGATGCGGGTCTTGATCTCCTCTTCGGACGGAACACGAGGGGAGTGGATGTCGTAGACACCAGGGCCGATGTGGCGGGGGTAGGCCTCCTCCTCGAAGACACGGAGGAGCTTGGCGTCAGACTTGCTGTTCTCGATGGACAGGACATCGGCATCCAGCGCGGCGATGGCGTGGAAGAAGTCCTGGAACTCGGAGTAGCAGAAGTGGGAGTGGATCTGGGTGGAGTCCTCGACGCCAGCAGTCGACAGCTTGAAAGAGTCGACGGCCCACTTGAGGTAGGCCTCACGCTCCTTGCCGGAGCGGAGAGGGAGACCCTCACGCAGAGCAGGCTCGTCGACCTGGATGCAGTAGATGCCAGCGGCCTCGAGGTCGACGACCTCGTCGCGGAGGGCCAGAGCAAGCTGCTGGGCCTGGACGGACTGGTGGACGTCGTCACGGGGGAAAGACCAGCGCAAGCAGGTGATGGGGCCGGTAAGCATGCCCTTCATGGTGCGCTGGGAGTGAGCAGCGGCGTACTTGGACTCCTTGACCGTCATGGGCTCGTTGTTGCGGCGAGAGATGTCACCGACAACGATGGGGGACGGACGCAGCGCGAGCCGTAAGACTGGACCCAGGCGTGGGTGGTGAAGACGTAGCCGTCCATGCGCTCACCGAAGTACTGAACCATGTCGTTACGCTCGGGCTCACCGTGGACGAGGACGTCCAGGTCAAGCTCGTTCTGGATGGCGATGACCTCGTCCATCTCCTTCTCGAGGAACTTCTCGTACTCCTGGGCAGTGATCTCGCCCTTGGTGAACTTGTTACGCTGGATACGGATCTCCTTGGTCTGGGGGAAGGAGCCGATGGTGGTGGTGGGGAAGAGGGGGAGCTTCAGGTGGGTCTTCTGAGCCTCAATGCGCTTGGGGAACTCAGACTTGCGGTTGTGCATCTCAGGGGTGACCTCGGACTGGCGCTTCTTGACGTTGGGGTCGTTGGTGCGGGCAGAGGTGGCGCGGGACTGGATGTCCTTGGCGTTCTCCTCGAGCTGGGCCTTGACGGAGGCAGCGTCGGTGATGGCCTTGGCAATGGTGGCAACCTCAACAGCCTTCTCGGAGGCGAAAGAGAACCAGCGGTAGACCTCCTCGGGCAGCTTCTTCTCCGAGGTGAGAGTGTGGGGGGTATGGAGGAGGGAGCTGGAGGTGGCAACGATGACACGCTCCTCGCCGACCTTGGCAATGGCCTGCTTGACGATGTCAATGGCACGCTGGAAGTTGGTCTTCCAGATGTTGCGGCCATCGACGACACCAGCAGAGAAGATCTGCTTGGGGCCGAGCTTCTCAAGGACAGGGCCGAGCTGCTCGGGGTTGCGGACAAGGTCAACGTGGAGACCGTAGACGTTGCTGATGGCGGGGAGGACATCGAAGTTGTGGACGATGTCACCGAAGTAAGTGGCCAGAACCAGGTTGGGGAGGCCAGCGCCGACGAGCTTCTCGTAGGCGGGCTTGAAGGCGTCCTTGGACTTCTGGGGGAGGTCGAAGACCAGGATGGGCTCGTCAATCTGGACAGTCTCGGCACCGGCAGCCTTGAGCTGCTTCAGGAGCTCGACGTAGACGGGGACGAGCTTGTCGAGGAGGGAGATGGGGTCAACGGACTGGCCACGGTCGGGCTTGCCGAGGTGAAGGAAAGAGACGGGGCCCAAAAGGACGGGGCGGGTGACGATGCCAACGGCCTTGGCCTCGTTGAACTCGCGAACCGGCTTGGGGTCGGAGGCGAGCTTGAAGGTCTGGCCATCCTGGAAGGTAGGCTTAACGTAGTGGTAGTTGGAGTCGAACCACTTGACCATTTCCTGTTGAGGGGCTCGTCAGTAACTGGTCCAAGCTTTTTTTTTGGGTTTATTTTTATTTATTTTTTATATCGCTCAATGTTGAGCGGGGGCGGGGGCGGGGCTTACGAGAGAGGGGACGTCGATGCCATCCTTCTGGTGGCCACGGCCCATGGCGAAGTACTCGTCAATGGGCTCGAGCTTGGTCTCGGCATAACGGGGGGGAATGGCCTGATTGTTTCGTAAGCTTATGATTTCAAGTGGTGCGAGGAAAACGGGGCAACGCGAGCGCCGAGCCACGTACGTTGAAGAGCTGAATGTGGTCAAGGACCTGGTCGTAGTAGGCAAAGTCGTTGGAGGGGATGATGTCGACGCCGGCATCCTTCTGGATCTTCCAGTGGGCGAGACGGAGTCTCTTGCCCTCAGCAAGGAGGTCTTCGCGGGAGAGCTTGCCGCCCCAGTAGGCCTCGTTGGCCTTCTTGAGGTCACGGTTCACACCCATGCGGGGGAAACCAAGAACCGAAGACTGGACCATCTTGAATGCTGTTGCCTGTCTGTGCAAAGTATTCAAAGGTGATAGAAAAGTGTGTGTTGGTAAATTACCCCGCCGACGAGTCGCAAGGTAAAAGGAGAAGAGTTTGGAAGACAGGGCGGTTGAGGAGGAGGAAGAGGGAAGAGGGAAGGAAGAAAAGGAAGAGGAGGGCGGCGAGGGGTTCTTAGAAGTAGTCTGTCGGTTGGACGGGCACCGCACGAGATAAAAAAAAAAACTCTACGTGGCCGAGTCGGTCGGTGAATTTGGGAATTGCGTGCGAAGGGACGGGCAGCATGGGGAGCATGGAGGAGGAGGGGAGCTGTTGTTAGTGGCTGGGGTCGAACGACGGGTCCCGGCCCAGTCAGTTGAGAGCGAAGTCGGCTTTACTGGTCCCTTGGATCCTCGCCCTCCCCTTCCCACCGACAAGTAAGTACCCGACGGAGACCTACGCGCTACAGCAATTGGCTCGGTGGGTTTGGCCGTGTTCTCTGTTTCCGTCCCTCACATGCCTCCATTGCGTGTGCCGCCAGGCGGAGGGGAAAATCAATAAGAAAACGAGGCGAGAATTCTCTTCCCGCCAGAAACGTGCACCACGCACCGCACACTACCTAGCAGCAAGGTGGGGTATCTTTGGAGGGAAGGAGGGGTTGTCGCAAATTGCCCTTGGGATACCGCCCTCTGACACGTCTTGAGAATGCAGCGTGGCGTGAAGCTGGAGACTCAATTGGGGACAATGTTTGCTTGACGGATCCACATTCCTGCTGGGCCCTTGATATGGCGGGGTACCAGCCCACGACGATGCGCTATCACGAGTAGCTACGAGTTCCCGCCACCGTCTTGCAAGCCACCCATTGTTCTCTGTTAGTGCCCCTCCCTAAGGTACCTTACTCAGGGTAGCTCCCTACAGCTACGCAGAAGCTCCAGTGTCACCGTCGCTCTCCATTGTGTTCCATTGCCTCTCTCTCTCTCCCTCTCTCTCACGCCTGCTCGCTACACATGTGCTGGTGCCTGAGGACAACGTCCCGACTGGTCCAGACGCAGAAGGAGCAGAACTTACGAGGTGTACGCGTGCCACATGCATGAAAAACGCAACTCTTGTAGGGCCCCAAAAGTAGGTCGCCTCGAGGCTTGCCATAAGGTTGATTTGGTGAGAAATCGACACAACGTCGCAAAAGTCAAACAATGGACGGCAACCTGAAGTTAGTAGTGAGGGGCAGCCGTTTCCCTATTGGCCCATTCGGCGCAAAAGGGCGGCAGGAACGCAGGGTACCTGCCTCGATATGGAAGGGCGGTGTGGGCGGTCGGGAAATGCGCTTTCCTCTTTTTGCCCTTGTTTATTCCTCCGACTTCTCAGGTCTTATCGCCCGACGCTGACTGTGGTCCGTGAGTCAACCGATACCCGATGTTATGCCTCAGGTACCAAGTCACCAAAAGCTTGCCCGGACCCCGTTGCTGCCTCTCTCTCTCTCTCTCACTTTGCTCTCTACCTCGAGAACGTCGATGCTATCTGGAGCTGCTCGTCGTCCGTATCAGAAACCTTACTCGAGCACGTTGTTGAGCACGTTGTCGAGCTCGGCGTGCGACCTTCACTGAACCTTCGCCTCCGGTTCCCGATCTTACCGTTGGCGACAACCCCCCCCGCGACTTTTGCTAGCCCTTCTGAGCTGTCACAAACGTCTTGCTTTGCTGAGAAAATGATGCATTTTGCATTCTGCGGTCTGTCTGTTGCGGTCAGCAATGTCTCACCCTCACGCTCCCTGTTGACTCCCTCAATTGGGCACGCCACTGTCTCGTTTACACCAAGGCCACGATGACACTGCAGCCAGTGCATCCTGAAGTCGTGGCGGCTGTCTCCAAGCTGACCTAAACCTTCTCCCTACTTTCCTCATGGACGGCGGTAACCCAATGACGCTCTATCCGTTACTCGTCACCGCTCATTGTCCTCCCTTGGTACGTCAAGACGGACAGCATCATGCCAGTCTCGAACAATGCGCGTCGCTCGATTGATCGTTGTGAAAGCTTCTGACGTTAGGGTTTGTTTGGTTTTGTTTTTGAGATCATCAGTGCCCCTCCCGTGACTAGTGTACACGTCCTGGGGCAAAACCACGACCGCGATGAACACGGTCTGGTTTCTGGGGCAATCCGCAATGGCGTGATCGGCGAGAAAAAACCCAGAAGCCAGCCAAAACCTGCTCGGGTCTGGATTAATGGGGCATTGCCAGTCGCTAAGAAGAGAGAGCATGAAAAAGGGAAAATACGCGCAGAAACAGCAGACACCCTGGTTCCCGGTTCTTCCTCTTGATACGGGTCGGGGTCTCATTCTCGAAGCTCAATCCCCCTCCCAAGACTCCAAAGAACCCCACCTCGACACGTCTCCATACCCGTACATCGGAGCCAGCAGTCACCGATATTACAGGTTGGAAAAGGCAGGGCTCATCAATGGGTAAGGGATGGGCACGCGTGCAATGCTGCTGTCAGCCCTGGCCACGAGATGCACCGTGCTTAAGCCCCCTGAGCCCCTCTTCAACGCTTGTAAGCGACCCCAAGCACTAAGGAGACTTTTAGACTCTTTTCAGCGGGTGGCCTAACCTCACACCGCGGTCGAGGCCTCGTTTCAAATCTCCGAGGCTGCAGCTCGAATACGGGCCTTCACTTCTTCCACCACCCAGCCAACTCCTCGAAGCTCCCAACTCCACGGCTGAAACCAGACTTACCATGGTAACGATATAGGGAACCCAGCCCCTTAGCATCCGGTCTTCCATCTTGTCGACCTTCGGGATTTTCCACCCGCATTGCACTGCCTCGACGATCCAAGCAGCATCGGACGGACCCAACCACGCGCAACAACGCGGCGGCGCAGCTATCGAGTGATATAGCTAATGCTGCTGAGCACCGAGCATTGAACATCGAGCATTGAGCATTGTAGTGCCTCCTTTGTAATGGTTCTCCTGACGCATCAGCCATGATCACTCGGCAATTCAAGCAGGGACAACCTCGATGATGGTGAGCTCGCCTGTGCGACTTGCCTGCGTCCGAGCTATGACCCGGGATCGTGGCACCAAAACATCTCCCACCTCGCGGCTTCTCTAGCTTGTTTACCTGTCACAACTGGCTTGGGAAACGACGATCCAAGACGCCTCTTGTTTCCGTCTAACGTGCTTGTCCAAAAGAAATCCATTGATCGTAGGTTTCTCGTTGAGAACGCCACCAAAAATAGGGGATCAACGTGCCATTTTCGGTTCGCCTGTGGGTGGGATGGTAGGCCAGTACGCATCATCTTGGCTTCTCAGAAGGAAAAAATCCCGCTCAACCAACGAGTGCAACTTGGGACCCAGTGAGGCAGCAGATCGCTGCACAGACGAAGCGGTTCTTGACAGGGCTCAGCGGGAACGTCAAGAACTCCTACACTGGCGCATCGGAACCCCGGTCCTATATGAGCCGCAAATAAGCTGCCCCAGGCTTCCGCTACACCCGTGTCCCGCAACATCGCAGCCAACAACCCTGGTACCTGAGGCAGTCGAGGGAGCACTTCTCGCGGCACGACTCCCACACCACTGCACTCAGTGTGTTTGACAATGACGTTTTGAAACCACCACCCCTGCCCGTCCCAAGCAGCACCATCTCGTCTTTGACATTAATCGCTGCCCCATATTAGTCGTCTGTTAAGGTCAAGATGCATCAAGAGTCCCAGCAACTCCCGACAAGCCCCAGCAAAGCCCCAGCAAAGCCCGGGGTGAGCACCAAGCAGCCCACGCCTCATTACCCTCCTTTCTGAAACTGGCTTAACAGCTACTGTCACGTATAAGCTTATTCACACACTGCACTTGGCAGACAACACTGGGGCCTTCGTGTTAGGGAAGCTGAATGGACCCCCATCCCCTTCCCCATGCGCGCTGCTGTCCTGCCCTGCTCGAGTTGCATCCGGGACTTGAAGCAATTCATAATGGAGAGCTGCCTCGGGTCTGCCTCGATCTAGTTCTAGTCTACTCCCTCTCTTCTCTTCTCAAGCTCTCTGGGAGAGTGATACGCAACAAACGAAATCGACGGCCTTTTACTTTGTGTGTTTTTGGGTTTCCTTGGATTCTAGATTCTCTAGTGTTACTATCTGCTTTCTTCCGTATACAACAGAGCTGGCTCATATACCAAGTGCTGGAACACTATCTTTCACAATGGCCCCCATGGCGAGACCACAGGCAATCTTCCACAAGTCTTCAGGATCTCACGTGTAAGTCTCTTCCCCTTTTGGCAAGCGCAACTTGGCGAGGCCTGACCCCCCGTCTCTCTTCTAGATCATCCCACGAAGATGGCGACCTCGCGCGCGTATTTGTTGGCCGCGGCGACAAGATGAAGGAGTTCCGAATCAACAAGCAGAAGCTCAGCAACGCTGCTCCCTTCTTCGAGGATCAACTGGATGCCACACCAGCCGGCATCGTCAAGGTATCATCCAACCAGACACCGGTACCAGTATGGCTGCCTCAACAAAAGTCGACCATCCACCTTCCGAACGAGTCCGCCTCCATGTTCGAGCTCTTTGTCGTGTGGCTCCATCACCGCGACGGTTTCCGTCGACACCTCGACGAGATGATCAACCTCGTCAGCGACGCCCCCGGCGTCCCCTGCCAGCGTCTGCACTGGGCTCTGGTCCGCCTTCACATCTTCGCCGCCAAGCTCGATCTGCACCACCTGCAAGACCTGGCCATCGACGCGCTGCAAGACATATACCTCCGCTGCGACTGGGATGTCACCCCTCGGTTCGTCGAATTCGTGTACGAGCAGTGTGATGCCGAGGCGTCGATGCGGATCAGAAGGTGGGCGGTGGCCATGGTCGCCTGGTCTGTCGCCGGGGGATCCTCGTCGACGAAGGGGGACGGCGGGCTCGAGAGGTTCCGGGACATGTTCGAGCGGTTCCCCGACTTTGCCACGGAGTACACTTCGCACCTGCGCAAGATGAAGTCGAGCAAGCTAGACACCCGTATCAAGAACCCGCAGCTGCGAATCCCGGCGAACAAGCTCCGCAACGAAGAGAGGCAGTTCGGCTTCCGGCAGTGTTCGTTCCACAGCCACCGCGCGGCCGTCGGCGAGCGCAGGTGTCCCCATACCACAGCCAGCAGGGAGCTGGATAACTTCCTCCTGGTGCCGCTGGTCATGGAGATCGCTCCGGCCCCGAATTCCGGCCGTTCCCACCGGGACGTGCCACAACACCTGCGCCAGAAGAGAATGGCTCACACGGCGCAGGCATACTAGGGAGTGTGCGTCACGGGCCTTTACCGGCCGGGTGCCCCACCCGGTCTGCCCAACATACCAAACACAAAAAACCGAAAATCTCCCCAGATACTAATATCTCAAACTCGTCATTCGTCCTCCCTCAAAGGTCCTCCGATTCGGTCCTCCTAGGGATGGGACATGCGCTCCCCAAAAACACGCCGAAGCCGTCCTTTGGCTTTGACGCCTGGCGAAACGCGACGCGGCTGCGTCCGGCGTCTGCCAGCTCAAAGACGAAGCTGCCACTGCCATCACACCGGCCGAGGTCGATCGACTGCGTCCCCGGCCTGACCTGGACGGTGCCGAGGAGGTTCTGCGTCTGGCGGACGGCGTCGTCGTCTTGGTAGCTCGGGACGCGGAACACGCGCATCGTGGTGGTGCCCTCGCGCTGGATCAGCTCCCAGCTCTCCGAGTCCTCGGGCATGGTGAAGAGGAGCTTGCACTCTGTTGACTCCTGGCCCTGGACGCCGCCGAAGGTGACGAGCTGCGCGACCCTGTTCGCTTTGTTTCCTACAACACGTCTAAGTACACCATCTCCTTTATCAAGGAAGAAAAGAAAGGGGCGAGAAGGGGCATGAAAGCTGCCCAGGGTTTCCTTACCAGAGGCGTCAATGTCCTGGTTGACGTAGAAAAAGGCAGACGGGTCCTCTTGTTCAAAGGGTTGATCCTGCAAGAGCCAGGTCAAGGACGCTGGGGCTTCGACAGCCGCGCAGTCTGTCATGGACAGTTGCCGTTGCCGTTCGCCAGAGGGTGCGGCTCGGCCGATGGCCGATCCGGTGATGGACAGGATGTTGGTGAGGACGGCGCTCAGACGAGCCATTTTCTTGATTTGTATATAGTTGAAATACCCCAGGGGATGACACTTTTTCTTCCCCTCCCAATTGAACAAACACTAGACGTTGTTTACCGGAACTCCTTGGACCGATTTTCCCTACTTTCAGTGACGTTGCCGGAACTCCTCTTTCTGTCTGACAAGCTCTGGTGAATTCGAGGCGCACGGGGTGAGCACAGAGGGGGGGTGTGTGATTGGTAAGGCGTGGGTGGATGCCGACGACAGATGAAGCTGAATGAGGTTCGACCACTAGGTATGGACGGGAAGACGGGATGGGACGAGGAAAACCCAAAGTCGCGTCGTTATGGAAGCACAAGAGAGGAGGCCAAAACAAACGGGGAAACGAAACGAAACAAGAGGGAAGGAGAGGGTGGTGCGGTTCGCCACGATATTATACCTCGCGCGCGCGAGAGAGAGAGAGAGAGAGAGAGAGAGAGAGAGAAGTAAGCAGCCCGGGCGTGCGCGGCGAGGAAGGGAACCGGCTGACTGACTGGGACGGATGGGTGCCGCCGGTGCGTGTAAGGTGGTGTGTGTGGTACGAGACCGGACGAGAAACAAAAGAGAGGCCCTCTGTGCAAGCTTGGACTCGCTGTGCTGGGGGAGCTCGGTACAGCAGGTACAGCAGTGTTTGGGTGTGCTGGCCCCGGGGCCTGGCCTGATGACCTGTGACACCCGAGTGACACCGCTTTGGCTTTTTCCTCTCTCCCCTCCTCTCCCCCCCCTTTGGGCTGGCTTTTTGGGCCCGGCGCTGGGCTGACCTCTCGAGGGGACTTGGGGTTTGGCTTCTAACCCCGGTCCGACCGGAAGTGTCATTGGTGCCCTTCCCCTCTCTCACAAGATCCCTTTGGGGAGTTCCTTGGTGCCCTGCTTTGCTTTAGTTTGCTGTTCCCGGTATGGAAAACAAGGGACGTCAATTCCAGAAGGGCACCAAGAAAAACACGCCAAATGCCCACGACCTGAAGCGGCGTCGGTGCCAAGGGATCACCGGGGCCGCGGAGCTCTTCTCAGGGCAGGCAGCAGCTACGTTGAGTTCCATATGAGTTGAGCTGGGCTGGGCTGGGTGGGGCGGGGTGTGGTTTTCCTTTTGGGCTGCCGGGATGCGCCTAGCCGGATGTTGGCGTGCGCTCTCTCGGGTCCCTTTCTTCTTCATCCCATCTTCCAATTCCCTCCCCCTCTTCGGGATAAGGTTCGGGTCCCGGATGTGATTTTCGCTGGCGTTTGGTTCCGTTTGGTTCTGTTTGGGTCTGTTTGGGTCTGTGTTTTGGGTTTGGGTTTGGGTTGGGGGGGGGGGGGGGGAGGGCCAGCATCTTGCGAGATGTGAGATGCCTCAATTCGGGGTAGGAGGGAAAGCTTGACATGACCATCGGACTGACTAACAGACTAGCCAACACACGTCGCCGTACCAAGGGGACGAAGTGATGCTGGCTTCGGACCCAAAAGGCAAGGGGGAGACAGGACACAGGAAGAGGCTCAGCCCTGAGTTCTTCACCTCCCCCCCCATGTCCTTTTTGCGCAGCGTCTTCCGTCTCCGGTTGACGGATACAAGAGGGGAACCTCGAATTAAATTAAGGTGCTAAATTAGGGCGCTAGCTCGCGGGGTTTCCTTAGCTCGGCGTCGACATCGTCATTATGGATTTACGTTGCTCGAGGAGAGAGACCAAGACGGGCCGCCTGACGTGCGCAATAGGTGTTCGTCTCATTGGACTGCATGCCATCCAAACGTCTTGTCATCCGAGCAAACCCATTGTCTATAATACTGTGCGACCTTGTGCTCCTTCCAACACCGGTTCCCTTTGGCCCTCCAGGCCAGACAAAAAGGAACGCTATTCATGCGGCGCCGGTCGGTTCGGTAAATGGTCTCACGACTTCCTGCTCCCCATGTCTCAGCAATAAGAGACGAGGGCCGCCGTGCGACGCGAGACGCGCCGCGCCCTGCGCAGAGGCGCAAACGCGGACCTGCTCCCTCCCCCGCTGGGGCCCGGGTATCGCGGCGCACCTTTCGAACCTCTCGAATGGATGGATGGAACCATTGGGGGGAGGGCCCCTTCCTTGGCTGAACGACAGGCGCGTTTCCTCGACTCCTCTGCGTTCCCTATCCAGGGAAATGAGGGCTCCCCGTTGCCTCATGGGGCTAGTCGAGAAATACGAGCGTAGCGCAAACGGGGGAAGGGGGGGAGATCTTTCCTAATTGTTTTATTTTACGCGGGACCGCTCGGGTCGTCTAAAATAAGCCCTTTGGTGTTATTTTATTTTCGTATCTGGCTTTTTTGTTTGCCTCCCTAGGGGGAGATGCCCCCTCAATTTGTTCACGTTGGCCTCCGGCGCGAGAAAGAGAGGACCAGAGCCGGGGACAAGAGTCACGATGCCTCCCTCAGCTTAAAGTGTGATGTAGTTCTCGCACTCGCAACGGAGAAATACCAAGAGAAACTCTCGGCCGGCTACCTCGGGATCCGACACACAGAACGCTTGCAGCGCAAGGGAGGGGGGTTGCGAGACATAACGCCCTCCAATCACCAGACCCCGTCCAGCCTACCTTACCTTAACATTGTCTTGCCCGCTTTCCCAAGGGCCAACTCTGTTTCTTGGGGGGCAGAGACGTACCGGCACGTTGGGTGACATCCTGCGCCCCGTCCTGTGCCGTGCTGCAAGGGCGACGAACGACAGGACATCAACATCGATGCCAATATCACGTTCCTTTTGCTTCCTCCCTGGCTCCTTCTCCGCACCCAAGCCGGGCGTAGCCCAGCTTGAGAGCACCCCCTTCTCCGGACCCCGGGAGGTAGCGGCGCAGCCTATGTACTGCCACGTCCCGGCTGCGCGGCCTTTGGGGCGGGGAGGGGATTTGAGGTACGGATACGTTGGCACCAATCGAGCCCGGGGTCCCGATTGAGCCGCTACCACCAAAGTTCTTTTGCTTATGGACAATGATCTGCGCTGTCAAAAAGTCAATCCCTCACGTGTTCTGCGCCTCAAAGCCCGCAGATCTCGACATCATCAGGCGCGTTGATCTAGAAAGTCCGGGGAAAGGCGAATGTCAAGTCGTGGACGTACACGGCGGACAAGGGGGGGAAACGCATACACATACACCCTCGTCCAGAGCACCCCGTGAAACAATTGCCCAACAGATGCATTTCCAAAAAGGCTTTGGAACCGCAAACGGCACCACAAACCAGCCCCTTTCCCGGCCCGAACGACGATAATCTGCACATCTCGCAGACAAGGGTCGAGTCCGTCGCCGGTGTGTGTGTGCGTGTGCGCCCCCCGTAGCGTTGGGCCACGGTCTTGTGGCGGCGTGCTGGCCTGTCCGGCCTCGAAGCTTAACCCACGCCCGGCGCCATGCCCCTTCAAGACGTTCGTTTCGAGGAACCTTTCATGACGCTGGGGGCTGCCCTGAAGGACGCGAGAAAAAGGGGCCTTATTTCTGGAATGATGTCGGGTCATTCGGGTTTGGCGTCTGCAAGACTTTGCATTCCTGGCACTTTCAAGCTCCGCCCGGCCAACAAACCCCAACATCGAGCCAGAGAGGCATTGACGGGGGTCTCCTTTTTTTGTCTCCCTCACCAATACAACTCGGGACTGGACGCCACATGAACTAACCGCCCAAACGGGGAGGAGATCGAGGACTTTGACAGAGGCCAGACACGTGGGACGTCGGGGATGAGCCACAGCCCGCTCAGCTGTTCCGACGGTGACGTTCCCGCACGGCGAACGTACCGAAGCGAAAGCGAAAGATGAACAACATCCGGCCGGGCGTCCCACGAGGCGGAATCGCGAAGCGTGGAAATCGCCCGGGACCCGATTTGTTCCCTTGTATCATCTCCCGGTTCGCGGGGAGGGATGTGAAAAATGAACGACCGTCGCCCGCAATGGGCCGTGGGAATGGCATCTCGGCCGAGTCGCGGCGTCCGGGGTCTCGACAGCGTTCCCTAGCGAGACAACGCAATAACCTCTGCATTGCCGCGTTCCATCGCACGAGGTTTCCATGGTGAGAGAGAACACACGCTGGCATTCCTCCAGTATGGGAATTCCCCAAACCCCCGGCACCGACTTTTCAAGTGAGCCATCTAGGTGCCCATCAACATCCCCCCAGCATTGCCCGTCCACCGCCATCATCTCCGACCCCGTGCCCTCGGACTTCCGCCCTCAAACCGCCTCGTCTGCACGAGTAAGCAGCTTCGTTTCGCTCATTCTTTCCCTTTCCCTCTTTGGTCGTCCCCCGAGCACATTCCCCCGGCCCATCCCCCCACCCCCCGGTTCTCCGTCCGGACATGACCCGAGCGCGCCAACCCGCCCGCCCAGCATTCGGCTGGGTAACTCGGCCCCGGAGCGCCCTCTTTTTCCTTCTCCAGCACGAAGAAAAACAACAAACGACTGGCATTCCTGTAAATTGGGTAGCGGGCAAGGCTTCGCGCAGGACTTGGCGGTGCCTCGCATCGCCCCACAGCAACGAGCCGCAAACGAAAATGAGCCCGTTCCATGCCCCCACCAGCATATGCATAAAATTAAGGCAGCCAGACCAATGCAAAGGGAATGCTTATTTTCGCTTTCCTGTACGCAGATATCTTGGAAGTCCAAGAGGCCGGGAGACGGGCGCTGGCTCTGTTTTCAGATGTACTCTGCTCCCTCTGCTTTCCACTCTCCGTCTCCTTTGGGCTCAATGTGCGCTTCTCCGGCTGCTCGCCCCCAATGCGGCCGTGCTCATCCAGCACCGGCCCATCAACGCATCCACGCCTTGGCTCGCGGTGATGCGTGGAAGCAAAGGCAATACGCACCGGCCTGCTAACTGATCGTTCTTGGGGACTTCGACTCCCTGGACAACACCTCCAAAGCCGACGTGAGGAGACACTTCGACCGGCAGGTGTCGACCGGGCCGCCAGGACCGCATCCCACTTCAACATCACTAACCTCCCTCGCTTCACGTACCGTCTCTACGTCGAACATGGGTTCCTTGCTACCTTTGAATCCTATCGAATGCCGGGAAGCTCTCCTGAATTCAGGATCGGACATCGGAATACGCCCAAGAACCGATGGTTTTCGCCGTCGTCGACCGCGCCTGGACGCCGGGCCAAACATGCAAGTCAATAAAGTCACAGAGATGACCTGTGTGACGATTGCTTCTACAACCAATAGTAGAAGGGGGCATCCGCCGACCAAAGACTACAACAAAACACGTCGGGGTGGAAACACATGAAGGCAATCTACGTGGCGGCGTCTTACACCGGTTTATACCGCTCAATTCTACACGATCCTCCTGACTACCAGAGACCTCCTGCCATCTGCCCTGGCGGAAGCGAGTGCATGCCAGAGTAACGGAAAGCATACGGGCGGACACTCTCTATTGTTTGTTCCGCTACCCGGGTCCGAGTATGTCTCCCGCCGATTTCTCTCCCCGATATATGGTGTAATCAGCGGCATTCCGTGCATGACAGAATACCCTGCATACAAGTCAGGGTATTATGTCTGTATCCGTGATTGTACACAATTGGAGCAAGCCTGGTCGGGCTACCCGTTTGGTACCCCGACGCATGGGAAAGCAAAGCATGTGTGTAAGCAAGCGCTGAGAATTCATAACCGACCACTCATGCAGCTTCACTGCATTTTTAACCCCACTAGAGACGTTGAAAGTCAGCAAACTACAAAGGTAGGGTGTGTAGCTTGCTTGCGTGTCGAATCAAGACGCACGCGTCAACACCAAAAGGAGGACCGCACGACGCGTCGAACCAGACATTAAGCGCCAATCGCTTACGTCTACTGACGTCAAGTACGTCTCACGGAGGAGCAGTTGTGCCGACACGCTGGGTTTCCAAAGGTGGTTATCCATTCGTCTAAAAACGATTGTCCTGTCTTCTGGTTCACACTGGGTTTTTTCTTTCTTTCTCTCTGCTTTATTCAAATCTCTCTTCACGAGATTTCTCCTCAACGTCCCGGAACCCCAATCAAGGCCCGGTCGCCGATAGATACATAAAAATATCCGACGTCCTCGTCGAATGTCGTTTCATCGTGTCCATCGTCATGGTTCTCGTAAAAAGAAGCCGATCTGCGAAGAATCGATCGACAGCCATGAACAAACTTTACATAGGAAATACCGTCCAGTTCGCACACTATCTCAAGCAAAGTGGCCATTAGTCCTCCAAGCCGGGAGAGTCTCCTCCCTTCGATATGTGAAGCAAATGTGTTCGAAAGAAGCGAAGTAAGGAAAATAATGTCGGGTCGTCATCATGTTTGCTGTCGTCTATGTACCGGTCGAGGGGCATGTTCCTTGCAGGAGTCTGTCCACATGGGTATCGGGCAGATGACTTGCATGAACTCATAAGTCGTGAGACAATAACGGGCGTGGCAGCATGTACAAAGAAAAAACTTTCACTAGAAGGGGGATTCGGATCGGCGACGGTTGGTGTCACGCCGTCTGAAGTCCCGAAGACGTTCGTCGATGTAGGCCAATCGGTCAGCCAGATTGCGAGGAGGAGCCGAGCTACCTTCACCGGATTGTTGAACGGTTGCAAAGGGACGGATAGTGCCGTGATCAAACTCCTGTGGCTGCGTGAACCGGTTTGGGAAGGAAAAGCTGGTGGTTGATCCAGGAAATGGTGATCCTAGCCTTGGAGGCGGTGCGTTGGGCGGAGCCAAGAAAGGATCGGATAAATCCGACAGCTGGGCCCGGGATGAGGGTATCTGCATCGGGGCCGTAAAGAGCCCAGCAAGATTTGTTCGGGGCACGAAGAGGTCATCGCGCGAGTGGTTGTCTGTTGAGCTGAATTCGATGTCTGGTTTAAGTGGTGTCTTGGGTCGACCTCCGGAGGGCATAGGTTCGGTCCAAAGATCGGAGACAAGACTGGGTCGCTTTGTCTTTCGTGGCTCATGGGACGCCTGTCTAGGTCTTCCGATGCGCTTCTGCGTGTTGGACCGGCTTCTAGTCAGGCGCGCCGGCGACTGGAGAGTGCGTCTGTGGCCAAGGCTCTGGTTCTGTCTTTGCGGCACCGAAGCGACGGCAGCAGCCAACGCGCCAGTGGAGCTAGGCCCATAGCTCTTGGCCATGAATGGCGACCCAAGTCGTGGGCGTTCGTCCAGAGGAACGTCCAACTTGCCGGGTTCTACGGGGAGTAGAGGGAACGGCTCTGTCATGGGCTCCTGGGTAAGTTCAGGGCCCGACTTTGTAAGCTGTGCCAGAGGGCCTTGGGGCTGCATGGCTTCTGAAGTGCTGAGGGTGAGCGACATGGACATGTCATGCGCCGTAAATACGGAAGGAGAGCGGGCCGGAGTGGATCTACGGTTCCAGAATCTTGCCGCCGTTCTGCCGAAAGGTGTCGGGCTGTTGGCGAGGAACTGGCTTGTCCGGGCTGACGACGAGGCCGCTTTCGACTTGCACAGCTCTCTCAAATGAGCCCGAGTGGCCGCACAAGTATGCGGCCACTGAAGAAAGGTGCAAGTCTCGACGGTTGGCGTGTTACTTCCGCTCTTGGGGTTCAACGACCTTCTTCCGCCTTTGGGACCTCTCCAGCTCCTCTTCGCTTCCCTTGCAACGCGAAGGCACACGCCCTGGGGAGGGATGCAGCTTTTGCCAGTGCGAAATGGCGTGACCTTGGGGTCTTGGAGATACGTGAGGTAGGTAGTCCAGAGGTGATCGCTCATAGCCTTCGTCCAGGGAGCCTTGCGTCTCTTTGACTTGGGCTTGGAAGGGAGCTCGGCAGGCTCATCAAATCCATCAAAGAACGATTGCTTAAAGTGATCCGATGCGTCAGTCTCGGGACTAATGCATTGCAGGTCTTCGGACGTGATGGAGAAGCGACTGAAAAGGGATGCGCTGGTTTGGGTGGACCGTGCCGTGGATGGACGGCTGGACTCGAACTCTGGGGTAGACTCGCCGCTACTGAAGGCAGAGTCGATGGACCAGTTGGGGTAGCGTCGAGGAGAAAGCGAAGGAGCGGCGCCGGGTGCTGGCGTTTTGGGTGGAGAAAAACGCCTGCCGCGAAGTTTATGTATCCCGAGGCCATCCAGGTCCTTGAGGTTGTGGATGACGGGGTATGTCATGCTGGAAATATGCATGTTTGCGCTAGAGGATTCCGGCTCTTCGATGCTAGGGATTGGCACGTCGGCAGCAGCAACGGACGCGAGGAACTGCGACGTTGGGGCGGTCAGGTTGGATGCGACGCGTCTTTTCAGCTTCAACCGAGGACGCGGCGGAGAAGGTGGCTGCAACTCCTCATCCACGGAGAAGGGCTCCGGTGTTTTGGGGTTCTGCTGGTCCGGGTCATGGAAGCGGAAGCCCTTGGGCAGCGTTGCCGCTCCGGAATGTTGGGGGTTCATGATGTCAGGCAACAAGAGCGTCTTGGGAATGCGATCGCCTCTCGTTACAATTCCAGATGCAACGGAGCTCCGAGCTTTGTGGAGCGGGCGGCGGACGTTTGCTCAAGAACAAAGGCGACGTGGTCCTTTGACTTGTCTTTTGTGGCGGCAATGCAAGACAAGCAGGAACTTGACCCTCTTGACGGTTGGGAGAGTAGCGCGTAAGGTCGCCAAGCCTCAACGGCTAGGATTCAAAGCCAATGCCGATCTCGCAAGGGGTGCGCGCGAAGGCTTCGGAATGAGGCGCAAATTCTCCAAAGTAGAAAATTTGGACTGATCGACTGCAACTGAGGCGATGTTGAGGCTGGTAAGATACGCTCAATCAAGTACAAATCCGCGATGCGACGGCCTCGGCTGGGTTCGAGGGCCGTTCGATTAACCAACGCGCTTCCGTCAAAACAATGGCCGAATGGAACACAGAATAAGAAAACAGTGTCGTCGTCGTCGTCGTCTTTGCCGTACTCGTCGGTTCGTTTTAAGGGTTCGTGCGTGGGTGGATTCGTTGATAGGTTCGTAGATATCGGGGGGTTCGTGTGCGCAATACCCTGAGTGAGACCAAGGAAATGGGTCGTCGCGACGAGCCGGGAGTCGGACAAACAAAAAGATGTCGTCGTCTTTGCTGGTGGTGGATGGCTCGTGATGACGGGGTTATTGGAGGAAAGCGCAGCGCAACCCCCACCACCGGAGGACGGCTGATGTTTGCGAAAAGGAACGACTGTGGTTGAAGAGAAGAGGTGGGAGAAGGAAGATCCGAGAGGATTGGGTTGAGGCGGGCCGGTGTAGTATGTATGGCAAGGTCCAGCGACGGCGGGCGGGGTGGAGAAGAGAAGAGCGGGTGGCGCGAACCTTGCTTGGAGAGCCGGGACAGGGCGGGACGCAGGATACGAATGGGAAAAGACCTGTGCCTGCGCCTGAGCCTGTGCTCGTGCCTGAGGGTTGCAGTGAAAAAGTTGACAGGCCGTTGGACGCCGAAAGTACCTCATCAGAGTTGGGGTGAACCGACAAGCCCTCGCACACTGCTCGCTTGACCCCCCGTGCAGTCGCAGTCACAGCAGAGCGTGGTTGTGACCAGGGAGGCGAGGGTGTCGTTGTACAGCGGACGGCGGACAGCGGTTGAGCACGCTAGAATCCCCCACCCAGGCTAAACCCAAGGGAACCTAGTCGAGCCGTCCAAGGCGAGTGACAGTGGAGTGTTTCTGCGACTGACGGACACACCAGTAGCGCCTCGAGACAAGTCCAGAAGCTCGCCAGCGCATGTAGCAGGGTGGAGCACCGGGTGTGCGTAGTCTTGTTTTTTTTGCAACGAAGACCCTGAAGACGCGATGTGCGGTGAGGTGCGTGGTGTGGGAAGCGCCCTGGAGGGGGACTGATCGTCTGTTGTCAAACCACTGGGACTGGGTCCGGCTGAAGTCGTGGCTCTGGCAAGACTCCTCTCTTCTTCACCAGGGTTCCAGAAAGGTCATTCAAGGGGCCTGGTCCGCGACGTCGGATGGGTAGGTAGTGTGGTGTTTGCAGCAGGCGCATGCACTCCGAACGCACTGTGCTGTGTGGTGTAGCCGGTCGATGGGCACGACAGGAGTGCATGTGCAGCGGATCATGGAACAGCGAACGACGAGGGTCCGGACGAGCGAGGGGAGAAAGCCAAGCAAAGCAAAGGGCTTCGGTCTCCCGTTGGTCGGTTCGCCCGTTCGCCAGGCGTAAGGCAAGGTACAACGCGCGTGAAGTCTGGGAAGCGCGCAGGACTAGGGTTTGGGTTGGTCGAGGCAAAGCAGCCAGAGCAGGCCCCGCGCACCTGGTGACGGAACTATCAACAACGCCAACACGATCACTGGCCCTACTTGCTCGTCGGATAATGCAGCAGTTGTGACAGATGCCGCAGAAAACAAGCTAGATGACCTGTGAGAGTCAATCGCAGACTGGCTGATGCAACAGTCCAATTGACAGGCCACCGGACAAGACAGGCTATGAATCTGGCCAGGCAATGGCAAGCTGTTATCCCCAGACAGCTAGGTAGGTCGCTTGGTTTGGCAGGGCGGTGAGACCAGCAACAAGACGATGCTGCCCGGTGCTGGATGGCACCTAGTGCAGCTTCGTGCTCTCTTTTCCTTTCGGGTAGGGTAGGGCGCGTTTGCCCTGCGGTGATTGTTGTTGCGGACGGCGGTTGTCCTGTCCACAGGCTGTACAATGGTTTGCGCTCGGCCGCCCAGGACCGGGGCCGGGAAACAAAAGAGGCTGGTTTCTGCGCCTGCAGCTGACAAGCTTATTCGTGCACCGGACGTTCGTTCTTGGGACGAACAGAGTCTCGACGCGCAGCGATTGAGCGGCTAAAAAGCCACAAAGTGGATGATCGGGTGGGTAACGGCTGGTGGTGTTCAAGAGGGCGAGGGTGACGATGAGTATAGAGGCCGAATGGCTGCAAATGGGCGAGACACCGTTTCAATCAAAAGAGGGTAAGGTTGACTTGTGGTAGCACCGATGGCGCAGCGAAACGGATGACGATGAGCAGGCTGAGTGAATGAGGGAGCGAGCGAGCGAGCGAGCGATTTCAAAGCGTGGGTTTGTTGAGATGCTGCCACAGCTAAACGGTCAAGTCGAACCGCACAAAGATCAATGCTAGGAGAGGTGAGTAGCCCGACGAGGCGCTGGATGTGCCCGGTGAAATCCAAGGTGAGCACGGCGGGTGGGCAGCGACTCATTGGCATCACAATTGTGGGCGGTGACGTCCATCCAACCTAAGAGAGGTACATCGGCGGGAGGGGGGAGGGGTGGGGGAAGTGTTCCAGCAAATGGTCGACGGGTGAAACTGATTTGACTGCGATCCGTGCGGGACTGCGAGAAAGAGAAAGCGACAATACCTGGAGAGATGTGGAAAATTCTGACGCCCAACGTCCAGGGCTGCCAAAGGCGTGAAGTGGGAAACAAGACGCGTTCTGGACGCGGTTATGACACGTTGTTGCGCGTGTACACAAGTGGGTCATTTGCGGTGATGTGGGTCGACGTGCGGATTCCCGGTCTTTCTATTGGATGGACCGGGTCAAAGCTCTCTAGTCCAAGGACAGGACCACCACCACATGCTGGCTCACCTGGATTGGGAAAGTCCCCCCCCCCCCCCCCCCCCGTGTGTCCTTCAGCGCCGAACGCTCTTTCCTTGCTCGCTCCATCCAGACCAAACTCTGAAGAATGCTGCCAGCTGAAGTCGAGGTACCTTATTCCTCCAAAGTCTGGACCAGATGGCGTTCGAAGATGTGATGCCAGGATTGGGGGACCGGTGCGGCTGTGCGCAGAGTAGCGGGGGGAGGGGGCATGAACAGAATCCATTTCCCAGCTGCCTGCAGCTTTCCAAGTCGCTCGTTCAACTGTCCAGAGCCGCCATCTTCATCCAACACCCCCCTCCCCCATCGACTGAAGCTTGAACGAGAGGTCCGATTCCTGATTCAGCTCTTGTTGGCAGGAGGAAATGACAATCCCCGGACCCGAGTTGCTCTACAGAGTACTTCGCATCTCGGTGTCCGCTACACAGCAGAAAAAGACACAGAAGCGACAATTGGCATAGTTATGTACATGGAGGCAATCCTGCCCGGGATGAAAACCAGGTCTGCCTCCCGTCTTACAACGCCCTAGCAGCAGAGGCTGGGAAACAAGCTCCCAGACCATGCCAATGTGAATACGAGCCTTGCGAATCGCACGGCCTTGCGTCGCGTTGCATCGCTCTGCTGCTTCCTCTTTCCCCTGCTCCCCTCTCGACCGTTTGCAAACGAACCACTGTATCTCTATCTCGGACCAATCGACGTGCAACATGGCGCGTATTGGCTACCTAGCTTCAAATGCCTGCTTTGGTCTGCAAGACGACGGAGCCGCGATGCGGTGAGTCCTACCTGCTGGGGGTGTGAATATTCCCGACTTGTCACCATCGACCTTATCGAGCGGTATGTCAGCTGCAAGCCTTTGTAGTGTCGCCGGCCTGTCCTGAACCTCCTCCATGTCTCTCTTGGCCATGGGCCACTCTCTGTTCGGGAAAACGAAAGGAGGCCCGCCTCGGGGATCAGCGAGCCCGCTGCAACGCTGCAGTTGGGCATTTCGGGATCCGCTGGGATGCATCATTACACTACCATGTACAAGAGCGGTAGGATTCGTGCCATGTCCACGTTCCCTCTCTCCTAAGCCTGGGAATGCCGGCACTCAATGACAGGATCACCCCGACTTGATCATCGTCCGTCCGTCCTTCGAGGTCAGCCACTTTCCATGACATCGGCAATCTTAACGCCCCAACTTTCATCCAACTCTTGTTCGACGTCGCACGTTCCAGACCAAGTTCGCTCCCGTTCAAACCATCACACCCGCCCGAGTCAAACGAAACGGCCGTCCCGGATGAACTTGACAACGGCTTACTGCCACACCAAGCCTAGGGAACCAAGGAACGGTTGGCGTCGGCCAATCAGGGCGCGTGTCCCCTTATTCTCGGCGCGCTGTGCGGTGCCGCTCGGTGGTCTGCTGCGAGATCCAAGCAGCAGGATCCCGAATGTGCTCTGCCGCGCGCGGTCGGTACGGTGCATCCCCGGGCCACGTTGACGTTGCCTGACCTCGAGTTGACGGATACGTTCAACGACGCGATCAGATGGTGTTCATCGAGAATCTTGGTTACCATTGCGTAACGGACGACGCCATGGCTCACCCTGATCATATGCCATCCGAAATAACGTCTTGATGCACATGACGATGAAACATAAGTACAGAGGATGCCGTGGTATCTCGGGACCAGAGCGTATACCCCTGAGATGTCGTGATGTCTGACAAGGCCGATGGAGCAAAGCAGAACTCACAACGATACAGTTGCATCTATATGGTCGCTTTTGACTTGAGAACCCTGAGATTCAGATCTCACTCGTATCGGACCGGCAATCTTCACTGCTGCCGGGGCGGATGTAGATGCGAGGCGGGCTCCCTTTAGCGTGCTCCCCTGGGGGAGCCTTGGAAGACTCCCTAGGCTAAGCTCATGATACGACAGCTACCTGGCTGCGAGTCGCAACTTGCCGCAAACAACGGACGACTTCGCCCTGTGGCAACACCCAGGACCTCCAAGGTAGGGACTGTTGAAGAACGCCGACGGAGATCGCTGCCAGACTAACAACCTACCGGACGCGCTATCGCCAATCCCATCCCTTCCATAAATGTCGATTAACGCCATGGCGTTCCAAGAACGACAGAGAAACGCCACATTCCTGGCTTGTTCGGCCAGGCGTGAATCTTTCCATTCCACTCCTGTTGCCCTTGTGAGATGGCTATCTTCATTGACAGCCCCCCCTCCTCCTCATCGCTAGAATGGTTCTCTCACGTTCACCCATCACAGCAGCCAGACTGCATCGCTAAGCCCATCATGATCGCCTCCACGTCCATGTCCCAGCTTGCAAAGTCCGTGGGCCCGTTCATTCTGCTACTCTGGTCCTTGTGGTATCTGGGTGTCAACCGCCAACACGTCCACGCCGTCACGCGAGCGTTCCGCAACCAAAGGGAGCTTTTTATCAAAGACTTTCTCGAGCGCGAGGTCGATGGCCCATTCGAAGGCGCCGCCATCGAGAGCTTGTGTGCCAGCAAGAAATGGACACCAGGCTTGCTGATGAGCTGTGATGAGGCTGCTGGGGGCATTGGCGAGGTGCGCAACGCCCATCTGCATTGCATCCGCTTCGCAATCGAGGCAGGGGGTAAGGAGTCTCCCTCCATGCTGCCATCCGTTCGGCTGGTTCTAACATGTAACAGCCGCATTAATATTGCCTCGCATTATCTCTCGTTCCGAAGACGACATCAAAGCCGTCAACGGGCGGTCCGGTGTGCCTCTCGACTATTACTTCGACATGGACCATCTGCACTACGCACTCACGACTTACTGTCCACAGATGAAGGTGTACGGGTCGATGGACGATCTCTACAACGTGCCAGAGGTCATCAATGGTCTCGAGTTCAGCATTGCCGATACCAACAACGACTGGGTAAACGGTACTGTTTTGGCTGACCCGTACAAGTGGCACCAGAAATTCCACAAGTTCATCGACCAGAAGCTGCCTGTCACTGAAAGGCCAAACCCGTTTCGCGTCCACTTGAAACGCACCCAATGGACGTGGCCGATAGCCAAGGACAAGGCCTCCGTGGCGTCGGCCTTTGGGCGCCTGCTCCGTATCCGTCCCGACGCTCGACGGCTCGCCGGGTCGGCGCTTTTCACCCTTGGGTCTCGCTTCAAGCTCAAGCTCGACCCGCGCATGCAGTACCGCCCGACGAGCTTTGTGGGCATTCACCTGCGCACCGAGGAGAACGTCGACGACAAGTATCCGGACTACCCCACGCAGGCTGCCAACTACCTCCATTACTTGTCCGAGTCCGATTCCAAGATCGCGTTCCTTGCCACGGGCGCCACTAAGGACAACATCACGGCTTTTGTCGGCCGCGCCCGGGACTTCAACATCACGGTCGTAACCAAGTTGGACCTCTTGGACGATGCGGAACAGAAGGCTCTGGAGAAGCTATCCTGGGACCAGCGGGGCCTGGTCGACTACGAGATCATGCTGCGCGCCGGTCTGGTGGCAGGCGTGAGCGCAAGCGCCTTTGCGTGGAGCCTGGCCCTGACGCGATCCTATGCCTTTGGGAAGGGGGCGACGGGCTTGGATCTAGACGGGCCCGGGTCAATTGCGTGGAAAGATGAATACACTGTCTTGTACGGGAGACGCGACGATGCGTTCGCCATAGCATCGACGATATGGCCATGATCAGACGAGCTGGGACGATGAACGCTTATGGGGGAACGAGGATACCACATGGTGGAGTTTGGGGGTCTAGACAAGTGGCTAAATGCTTACGTTGAATTTTCACGGGCGTCTGTCACGTACCATCTGCATGCAAGGGATATCATAATATGTCGTCGTATGTCAGATGTCGTCTGGGAGTCTCCTGTGCACATCCCCGGCCAAGCATTCTCGATGTCTGACGTTGAAAGTCGCTCTTGGCGACATGTCGTCTGTCAGGCGTAGTAACCCCTCACTTTGGCCGACACATCGTTCTTCTTTACTGGTTTGGCATGGTCTCTTCCACACATAAGCCCCGGGTCGCCGCCGGATTACACCGTCATCAGACTCGACGGGGGTCTCATTGGCCGTCTTGTCGCCGTTGACTCGGTGGAAGTAGACTCCGTGTGTAACCGGAGAGGATGCAGCAGCGGCAAACAAAGTCAGAACCAACATGCCCGTACAGGCGGGGGGGCGCGCCTGTTGATGGGCTTTGCCCCTCATCGACTCCACGGAGCGGCTTAGCCGTCAGTGATGACAAGCAGGTAGGCTGCGACCGTGGCTGACCCGCATGAAGGAGATGCGTCCAACTGCAGCGCATGCATCAATCAGCGGTCCCGTCACGCGACGACGCGGCCCATCCCATTCGGTGGTGCTGAGCGGCTCTAGACGGGCATCCTAGGCTTCTGGGCCGCCTTGATACCTAGAACGAAGGGTGCCGCATGCGAGGCGCAAGATTGGGCGCATATGTGTGATAGATGGCATTGGAAATGCAGTGTCGGGACGTCGTGAGAGTCGAGGTGAGTGAGATGAGAGCGGGGGGAGACTAGTTGCCTAAACTGGCGCGAAGTGCCCAAGGGCCCCCCTCCAGGGCCTCGCAGAAAGCTAGAGCGCTGCTGCTGCGGGCTTTTCCCCCCCTTTGACTGATGATGTGAGGAGACGGGAATTGCTTCTCTGCCTTGGACACCCCTGACGGTGCACACGTTCACCGTGACTCTTGGTCTTAAGAGCAACTATATCAGGCCGACCAGAGACGCACTGTTCTCGTCAAGTCGTTCTGGAAGGGCTCGCTGTGGCTTCAGGGCTTTTAGGCAAATCCACAGCAAAACGCTGAGCTGAGTCCAGGCGTCCATCGCCGATAATCCAATAATCCACACCTCACACGCAACAAGCTCCGTTTCCGTGGGTTCCCCTCACATCCAACAACCAAGATTTCCGTCAGCCATCCTCCGTCTGCCTGTCTCTCTTCTTCGTCACTTTTTTCTCACCTTGCCCTACCTTGCGATCCTATATAGCCCACCCCTGCGGCACACGCACATTCGTGCACGCACCAGAAACAAGCAGATCCTGACGAGAGAAGCCGGGAAGAAGTAAAGGGACGAGATATATGTCGATGGCCATCCCCCGTGGAAATCCCTTTAAATCATTTTCTGCACGACGACTGCTTTGAGCACAAAATACTACCCCTCCTCCTCCCCCCCCCCCCCCCCCCCCCCTCCTTCCACTCCTCTAATCTAATCTACCTCTCTCGACCTTGACTCGGCCTCCACTACGCGGCCATGGCTTCGAGCTCTGACATCATAACGCTTGACAATTTTGAGCAGCTGCTGCCAAGATGGGACCCCGCAGGCTCCAATCACCTATATGCGCTCGTTGATATGGGCAGGTCAGTCGACTCGGTTTTCCCTTCACATCGAGAATTGCTTTTTTTTATTTTTTTTACCTTATTCTTTTCCTTTGGAGATCGTCTCCTGGGTTTGCCGGCATGACACTAGGAATCGGGGTGGAAATCTAGTCTTTTTCAGCCCTATCGCTTCAGCCCCTTGGCAGGCATGAACGGAGTCAACAATGCGATGTCTCCCCATGCGATTAGTCCCCGACTAGGCGAACCGCCTCAAGACTAACACGCCTCAACCCGTAGCAACGGCATCCGATTCTCCATCTCGGACCTCACTCCGCCCCAGACCCGTCTCCTCCGGCCCATCTACCGCGAGCGCGCCGGCATCTCCCTCTTCGATGCCCTCAACTCCTCCCCCAACGCCGGCTCCGAGCCCATGACGTTCCCCGCCGAGACCATCGCCCTGGTCGCCCGCACCCTCGCCCGCTTCCGCCGCATCGCCGTCGCCTACGGCGTCCCGCCCGCCCACTTCTCCGTCCTCGCCACCGAGGCCATGCGCCGCGCCGCCAACGCCCGCGAGATGCTGACCGCCATCCGCGAGGCCGCCGACATTGGCGTCCACGTCCTGGCCCCCGAGGTCGAGACCCTGTTCGGCGCCGTCATGGGCTCGCGCTCCGCCTTTGTCGACATCTCGCGCGGCGGCCTGTTCCTCGACCTCGGCGGCGGCTCCGTGCAGATGACGTGGGTCGACACGCGCCTGCCGGACTACGAGATCGCCGCCGCGCTGGCGGGCGAGAGCATGCCCTTTGGCGCGGCGCGGCTGATCCGCGTCCTCGAGGGGCAGCCGGAGGAGGTGCGCGCGCAGGAGAAGCAGAAGCTCAACGCGAGCATGCAGAGCGCCTTTGCGAAGCTGTGCGACAAGTTCCCCGCGCTCGCGCAGGCCAAGGCGGAACACGCGGCCGCGGCGACGACCAACGGCACCGGCACCAGCACCGGCCCCGTCGCGGGCGGCATCGACGCGTACCTCTGCGGCGGCGGGTTCCGGGGCTACGGGTGCATGCTGCAGCACAACGACCCGATCCAGCCGTACCCTCTGCCCTCGGTCGGCACCTACACCGTGACGGGCGACTTCTTCAAGCAGACGGACAAGATGCGGCGCGTCAACCGCGAGCACGAGGGCAAGATCTACGGCATGTCGAAGCGGCGGCGGCAGCAGTTCCCGGCCATCATCGAGGTCGTCGAGGCCTTTATCCGCACGGTGCCGCACCTGCGCACCGTCACCTTTTGCGGCGGCTCGAACCGCGACGGCGCGCTGCTGATGAAGCTGCCCAAGAGCGTGCGCGAGAGCAACCCGCTCGAGGCGCTCGCCGGGTTCCCGATCCAGGGCCACGAGGACGCCGGCGGCGCCGGCGGCGGCAAGGGGGACATGGCGGTCGCGCAGGCGGTGCTGCGGATGCTGTACGGCGCCGTGCCCGTCAACGTCGACATCTCGCGGACGCCGACCGTCTTCTCGCTGGGGCTCGGGCCGCTGTTTGCGCGCCAGGTCTGGATCCACCAGGGCGAGGACGACGACGCCAACGCGTCGTACGCGCTGCACGAGGCCGTCACGCGGGACCCCAGCGCGCCGGGGTTGACGCACCTGGCACGGGCGGTCCTGGGGCTGACGACGTGCGCGCGGTGGGGGTCGAACCTCGGCCCGATTGACGCGCAGCTGTACAAGAACCTGAAGGGCCTCGTCGCCGAGGCGAAGCTGGAGAGCGTCTTCTGGGCCGAGTACCTGGGCGCCGTGGCGGCGGTCATGGTTGATCTAGTGCCGGCCTGGCCCAAGAGTGTCGAGGAGCTCGAGTCGACCTTGAGGTGTGTATCCGATGCGCAAAGTTGTTGATGTGGAGTGGAAGAATGAGTACGCTGACAGGGCACAATCCAGGTTCGAGGCCACGCAAACCGTCGACCCCGAGAAGAAGAGGGCGAGCATCGACCTGACCGTCTACGTGGCGCCCGGCGCCGCGGTGGGCATCGACCCCGAGGACGTCAAGGGCCGGCTCTCCAACGTCGGGAAGAAGCGCAAGGACGGCACGAAGCCGGACAAGAAGGTTACGGTCAAGATTCAAGAAATGAAGTAGTTTATGACTCCCCGATGATCTCATGAATATACCCCCCCTTTTCCTTCAAGCCGTAATGCCGGTCTGTTTTTGCGCATGTAGCATCTAGAAATTAGCATTGGCTTCTCAGCCATAAGCCCCTACTGAGCTGTCAAATACGGTTGTTCCCTTGCTTGCTCCTTTGTCGAGTCAGATGGAGAGCGTGATCATGGTGTGGATGATTGTACCCTGCGTCTTACAGCTCGACGTCGGTCATCCATGCTACTCAGCTGGCAGGCGCGGGAGCCTGTCTGTCGGTGTCCAAGTTTGAGCTCGTAAATACAAACGAGCTTTGTGAATACGGCCCTGTCACGAGAGCACGCAATCACGTGTGATCCGCGAGCTTTCTCTATACCTCAGACGTGAGTGGAGTTGGCTCTCCCTCACCTCCATCCGGAGTGAACACTCTCCTGCCTGTCTCAGCCTGGCCGTGAGCACATCAATCACACGCCTTGATGACGTTCTCTGGTCTCCAATGATATTGAGTTGAATTTAATTCCAATCCTCAACTTCTTTCTGGCACCCCAAGTCAGGAAAGGCTTGGCGAAGCAGGCAGATCCGGTGCCTTGGCCAAGGTGATCGTTTGTAGTGTCAGCAAGTAAGCCAGCCTTTATTTCGGCGGCCTCGCAGTGTCTTCTCACGCTTCCAGAGCACATATAGCTGTTTTGATATTAATCAAAAGAACCAGAAATCTGCAGCGTTGCACTTTCCCTTTGGACCGATCACGAAACCGGGCTTGGGGATGTTGTCTGTTATGCCCGGCCGGAAGGTCCCCCGCTGGGAGCGTAGTCCCACTCTTCCGGTCTTCAGGAACCGCTCATCGGAGTCGGTTGCAACGTCTGTCCGCCGTTTATCAGCTGCTGGATATAGATCTGCAGGATTAGAGTAAAGGCTTGAGTATGGACCGCAATCTTCGCTTTTACGTTGCTCTTCGGGTGCAGGAGAGGTTTCCAGTTACCTCATCAGGCAGCTAATCGGTTGCCTGCTGTATGGGGTCTTGATGAACGCTGGAATATCAGGGGAGGCATCTCGCTTCAAGTCGGCTACTATATCGACGGATGACCCAAGCACCGCACCTGTTACAGCTTTGAGCAACAGCTCCTCATTGTAAGTGATACCCTGTCACGATGGAACCTTCGACAGTCACGATGAGATGAGCGGTGCCAACCGTCAGAACCAACAACTACTATACCGTGATTAAGCTCCATTCCCCCACCCCTCGCAGAATACGTACATGGTTGCCTCATCGATTGTGAGCGTCGGCAAATCGGTTCTCAAAGTATAAAGTAGAGAATGGCAGACCATAACACCGGTACTGCGAACGGCAGTAGATTATTGAGCTCGCAGGTTGGGTAGTATGATCTTCGATGCAGCCAAAGCACACTCTGTCCAATGACGTGAAGAAACAGAACATACTGAGTAAGCACCTCCCTACCTGAAGCTAAAGCATTTCTTTCAACATCCATTACAGTTTTGCAAACCAATCTGGTGCTTTTCGTGTACGACAAAAGAGTGGGAACCGCCCACCAAATGAGAAGGGTTCCAGCGTTGGACGTGTACTTGACGTCGGTACAGGAACAGTCGTCTGGGCTGTTGAACATGGAGATGAGAGCCCGAAAACCGAGGTGAGAAGTGAACATGTGCCTCAACAGTGGCCCTATCGGATGGGTTTACACATCTTGGGCATAAACATGTCTGCGGTCAAGCCAAGGTTATGTGCTTTCAACTTGTCCCAAGACGTATCTGGACCGCCAATAGTCTTTGAAAGCATATCACGAAGTCTCATTTCTGAGATTGACGACATCGAAGAGCCGAATAGCAGCAGACGTTCCTACACAAGTTCGAGTACCCGCATAGCTGTATGATAATCTCTAGCATCGCAAGTTGAAATACCTAACTACAGAACTGGTATGAGGAAACAAATTGCATGGCTTGCGAATGTTCTGATATTGAACTAGTTCTTTTCGGCGGTCTTGAGCCTGGCGAATCTGTTGAACTGAGCGAGGCGGACCTGATTTCCTACTCAGACGGCGGGAATCTGTGGGAAAACCACGCGATCATGAAGCGTATCCATCTGCCGGGAGAAGCCTTTAGATAGTTTGAACGCTCGTGCGTGAGCTTGGGGGAGCTCAAGGGCGTGATGGTTGAGGCTGAGATCATCGTCGAGACAATCAACAAGCACAGTGGTCCGGGAACTCGTGGCCTAGACCCCTAAGTTTAATTTGCTCGGCCTGTGAGCTGATTAGATCCTGGACATCAGGGAGCTTCGCCATAACGCCCCTCGTGAGGCTTTACGATTGGACGAAAGAAGAGGTGACAGGAATTTTCGTCAAAGTCCGGAGGGACTTGAATGGCAAGAGTATACACGTGTAGGCATTGAACGATGTAAGCCAGTGTTCTCATCCGATATGTAACGCTCCCACTGAGGGCGACTAGCTGTTCAATGTGGAACAAAGAGCCCATAGAGGACGAGGCAAGTCAGCTGGATGCGTAGATATCAGGCTGTCGAGATGAAAAGAGATTATTTCGGCGATGGCAGTCTGCCAAAATATGGAGACCGCAATGGGGTGCTTTACATGGCATAGGACGAGGCCAGGAATAGTTGTGAACCGTAGATCCTTACTAACAACTACAAGTTGGCTACATAGCACCAACTGTCTAAGCCGATGATCTGGGTGATCGGCCGAGTGAAACCGCAACACCGGATGATCGAGTCTCGAGCATGCATAATCTTACCCGAACAGCCTGCCGCGCTAGGACCTGACGGTGATCCCTTAGCCGAGGCAACGCAGTGCCTGGCTTGCCAGTCGTTTATATTCTGCAGCGCTGCTACTGTCAAGAAGGGAAGCTGGTAGATAGCTCGCTGCATGATGTCGGGGTTGAAGCGGCGGCGTGCTGGAGGCCACCACAGTCAGTAATGGAAGATTGCAATTGCAGCATGGGAAAGCCTGCCAATCAGCCCGAGCAAGCTCAGAGCTTCGAAGGGTGGAGAGTGAACCGATACTCTAATTCACCGTGCGTGGGTTGGAGACAACCTCTGCGATTGTCTCATGCAATACCTCTTCAGCCTCTGCAACTTTGATTCAATTCGTATTCCACGACTCGACAGAGTCCACAAGCACGTAAGACACCCAAGGGGGCGAATGCGGGTTGCAGCTTGACGATTGGAGCGTTTGAGAACAGCTGGAGCTAGGAAATCAAACACTGAATATGCAGAAAAAATATTAAGGCGTTCGTGCCGTCCAGGGACTGAGCGCGCACGAGCCAGCCTGCCCACAGGACGAAGTTTAGTACGGAGTGCGGCAAGCGCTCAGTGGCTGATTCCGACGGTTGCAGCCCACCGCGTGCGGATACGTACCTTAACCGTAACCTGTGGGCACCTTTTCCACCTCGGTGCTCTCCTCCCCTCAATATGTGCTGAAGCAGTGAGCTTGACCTCCTCCCCAGCGTGCCGTCGGTACTTTCCTCCCTCGGCGGTACATGCGCGGGGGCGGGCAGCCACGGCAAAGATCCATGTACCGAGCAGAAGTGCAGGTACATCCTAGCGACCTACCCGTTCTGGGTGTCCTGTCTAAAAAGTGGACACCTCGGACCTCTCAGCATCAGTGTCCATCGCGGGAGGTTCGAAAGGACACATTGTACCAAATCTGAAGTCATCCAGGCAATTCAGGCCAGCTTGCCCTCCTTTCTCCATCCGCGCCCATCATCTCGTTTCCCTCCCGGTCCCTTCGACACTACAAAGTCGCGAACCCCTTCTTTTTTCGACACACGCACCCATTCACAACCCTCGACAGCTCACGGCTTCCTCTTCCAGCCCCCCCCTCCAAGAGCGCCAACGGGCCACTTTGCCAATCTCTTTTTTTTTCTTGGGTTTCCCTTCCGTCGCAAAACCTACACCTGCCTCCGCCGAAACGTCAAGGTCAAGGCTAGCCCTCGGATCTCAGCATTGCACTTCACCCTCTTTTGATTTCCCTTCGCTTTCGACAACCCCCGTCTTCTCACCACCAAACAATCCCGTCACTCTCGACGACGACTTTCTCAACAACAAATCACCTCCAGAGCGAACAGCCGGTCTGTCTGTACCTTCTTGTGCAACAGCCACCTCAACCTATCCACCTACCTTCACGACCTTCTTCCCCACAATGGCTCAGCAGAGAGGCCCTTCCTACGGCCTGGGTGCCGGCGGTCCCCCGTCCTTTGGCGGCCCGAGTGCGGATAGCTCCGAGTCTAGCCCCTTGGACATGATCCGTCAACAAACGAGCAAGATTGAGGATCTCCTGGACTCCTTGAGCGAGCCCGTCAAGCCGTGAGTCGAACACCTTGAGCCTTGGCAGGGAGCTGTGTCGGGAGCTTGTGATCGCGTGCGTAAACTTTGTATGCTGACTGAAGCTTCTTCGACAGTTACCTGCCCGCCATTGGCCGCTTCCTGATCGTCGTTACCTTCCTCGAGGATGCCCTCAGAATTATCACCCAATGGGGCGACCAGCTCCTCTACCTCCACGATTACCGCCACAGTACGTCTACGAGTCTACAGTCAACGAGATGCCGAGCGAATGCTAACCCTGTACAGTCCCCTCCGGTATCACGCACCTGTTTCTCATCATCAACGTTCTCGCCATGGTCGCCTGCTCCACCCTCGTCATCATCCGCAAGTACTCTGACTACGCTGTCGCTGGCCTCATGGGCGTTGTTGTCACCCAGGCTCTCGGATACGGCCTGATCTTCGACCTCAACTTCTTCCTGCGCAACCTGTCCGTCATTGGTGGTCTCCTGATGGTCCTCTCCGACTCGTGGGTCCGCAAGACCAAGGCTTTTGCCGGTCTGCCCCAGCTCGATGAGAAGGACCGCAAGATGTACTTCCAGCTTGCCGGCCGTGTCCTGCTCATCTTCCTCTTCGTCGGCTTCGTCTTCAGCGGCTCGTGGTCCGTCTGGCGCATCATCACCTCCATCATTGGCTTCGTCGCTTGTGTCATGGTTGTCGT